CTACTTAGGAGGCTGAGATAGCAGGATCATAAGCTCAAGGCCAGCATGGGCAACTTGGTGATACCCTGTTTCAAAAAAATACAAACAGGGATAGCCTGGTGGTATCTATAGCATTTGCTTAGGAAAACCTTAGGTCAGGTTTGATCCTAACACACACACACGTAATTGTCAAAGTTGGGCTGTAGACAGAGCTTGTCACAAATACTTCCATCGCACCAGAAGAACATGAACATACCCCAGTGTGGCTTCAAGGCAGTGAATAACTTTGTGTTACTGAGACAGTGATCAAAGATAAGTCAATATAAATCATCCCAGTCCCACTTTTCTGGCTTAAAGGTGTGCTATGGCTAGGCATGATGGGTCACACCTGTGGCCAGCACTCCTGAGGCAGAGTCAGGGAGAAGCTCAAGCCCAGCATGTCCTACATGGGCTATACAATGCGACCCTGGTTTGGTTTTGTTTTTGTTTGTTTAAAAAAACACAGCATACACCTACACACACACACAGGCAAACAGGCACACGCACAGCCCTTATGCCCAGACTCCCAAATGTTGTCTGTCTCCTAATTGGGCAATAATCTGAGTAGGATTTTGGTTTTTGACTTTAGGTTTGGTTTATGGTTTTGTTTTCTGGGCTCAAACGGAAAATCCTGTCTAGCTGCCTTAGTGTCAGAATAACTGCTATACAGGGCCACACCCAGCACCTATTGTCTGCTTATTTCATATAATTCCCCTTGGGCCAGGGATGTAGCTCAGTGGTAGAGCTTAGCAGGAGTGAGGCCCTGGGCTGGATCTCTAGCACTGAAAACAAACAAACATTTCTCCCGATAAAAATAATAATATGATTCCAGAAAGAAGAACTCAGTAATAATAGCAGACATGGTGAGCCACGCCTGTGATAATCTCAGTACCAGAGAGGGTAAAGCAGGAGAATGGCTATGAGTTCAAGGCCTATACAGTGAGCAATGCCAGCCTGGGCTACACGGTAAGGCTGTCTCACTAATTAAAATAAAATAAAATGCCAAAACAAGGCACAAAAAAAAAAAAAAAAAAAAAAAAAAACAGTAAAAACATCACCATTCTAAGATTGCCAATCCTCCTAGCCACAAAACAAACAACAACTAAAACCAAATCTCATATAAACTCTTGAGAGGTAGGAGGAGGAGGATCTTGGCCACATAGCAAATTTGAGGCTAATCTGGATTACATGAGACCTCATTTCAGAGAGGGCAAAAAGGAGAGAAAAGAACTAACAAGCATAGTATTGTTGAATAAATATTTCAAAATGTGACTTATACTGTATCTAGTACATACACCATTTTTTTAGTGACAGATTGAACTCAGCGATCTCACACATGCTAAGCACACGATCAAACAATGAGCTTCCACTGAGCTACACCCTAGCCCAACATACATTAATTTGGAATCTTTACATAATATTCTATTGTAGATATTTTATGACATAGAATCTTCTTTTGTTTTGCTTTGCTGAGACAAGGTCTTAGTGAGTAGCCCAGGCTCGCCGGGAACTCCACATGTAGACCGGGTAGCCTTAAACTCTCAGGGCTCCTCCTCCCTCCGCCTTCCGAGTGCTGGGGTTACAGGTGTGTGTCACCATAGCGAGACGGATATAAAGTATTCTTAGAAGATGAATGTTGTTGTAGTGAATGCCAGGGATTTATTGTGCAATAGAAAGGACCATACTTTTGCCTGCCCATTCCAAAACTTCTTTTTTTTTTCTCTGTGTAGCCTTGGCTGTCCTGAACTCACTCTGTAGACCAGGCTGGCCTTGAACTTACAGAGATCCGCCTGCCTCTGCCTTCCTGAGTGCTGGGATTACAGGTGTGTGTCACTGCACGAGGTCCCCGAACTTTTATTACTGCTCTGAGATCCCTGGACACCCCCCCTTGATGATCGCTATGTGAGATTTCAAAACAACGCAACAAGGAAAAGCTTAAGCTCCCTTCCCTGAGACACAGATGCCGCTGGTACACAACTCACTTTTACAATGATGAAAAGCAGACAGAATGTGTCAGTAACCTAAATTCTTCCCTTCTCAAATGCCCTCACCATATGAATCTTCACAGGCCTGGTGACTTCTGTTCTTAATTGTATTGTACAGACATGGCCATCGTTATGGTTCAAGCCTGCCCATTTCTGCTTTTCTTTGTTTACAGCAGGAGGGTGCAGGCACCGCCAGGGGTCAGTGCAGAGACATCCTCAAAGGCACTTCACCACACAGTACAGCCAGCCAGCAGGGCTACAACAACCCATTTTTAACAAACTCTTCTAGTTTGGAAGAGGCCTGTTCACAAGAGTAGCCATGTTCCCTTAAAATTTCTCAGATTAGCTCCACAAGGAGAGCAATAGATCAAAAAATTTCTTGGACACAGGGGTCTCTTCTGAGACTGATACTCCAACCAAGGACCATGCATGGACATAACCTAGAACCCCTGCACAGATGTAGCCCATGGAAGCGCAGTCTCCAAGTGAGTTTCCTAGTAATGGGAACAGGAACTATCTCTGACATGAACTCAGCGGCTGGCTCTTTGATCACCTCCCCCTAATGGGGGAGCCGCCTTACCAGGCCACAGAGGAAGTCAATGTAGCCAGTCCTGATGAGGCCTGATAGACTAGGTTCAGATGGAAGGGGAGAAGGACCTCTCCTATCAGTGGACTTGGGGAGGGGCATGAGAGGAGATGAGGGAGGGAAGGTAGGATTGGGAGGGGCTGAGGGAGGGGACTACAGCTGGGATACAAAGTGTAATTTATAACAATATAAATAAATTTTTTAAAAAGTGGAAAAAATTCTCAGATTAAGCTGGGTATGGTGGCATATGCCTTTAGTCTCAGCACTCAGTAAGGCTGAGGCTGATGGGTCTCTGAGTTCAAGGGTAGCCTGGTCTACAAAGCGATTCCAGAACAGCCAAGACTATACAGAGAAACCCTGTCTCAAGGCAGGAAAAAAAAAAAAAAAAAAAAGATTTCTCAGATTAGAAATGATCACAGTCCTTCAAGTTAATTTATATTCAACATATCTAAAACAGGGCTATCTTATAAACAAGGTTTATCAACAAAGATGTCATATCAGACCCATTCTTCCTTGTTTGGTAGGAGGTAACTTGCGTTGGTTTTTGTTTTGTTTAAAGAGATTTATTTTCTTCTTTTTAATTATTTATGTTTACGTGTCTATGTGAGGGAATACCACCTATATGTAAATTCCCTAGGAGATCAGAAGAAAAAAGTGAGAGCCATCTCTCCAGCCCCAGGAATGAGATAATTTATACATAAAATAATTATTCTATTTTGATCTTTTCTTTTTGATACAAAAGAGATTTATTGGATGAAGGAAAGAGGAGAGGAGTCAGAGGAAAAGAGAAAGAAGAACCTGGTGCCCTCCCCACAGAGAAAAAGTCAGAAGAGAGGGAGGGGAAAGAAACTGAAGTAGAGCGAGCTCGTTTTGATCTTTTTACGCATGTGTGTGTACATGAGTGTACATGATATGCAAGTGTGTTTGTGTGTATTAAGTGCGGGCACATACATGCCATGGCATGTGTGTGGAAGACAGTCTCCGATGTGAGTATTCATCTTCCACCTTGTTTGAGACAGGGTCTCTTACTTTGCTGCTCTGAACATCAGGCTAGTGATTCACAAGCTTCAGGGGAGCCTCCTGTCCTAGCCTCTTATCTTCCTACAGGATCACTGGGGTTAGATATACACAGCTGTATCCAGCTTTTACATGGCTTCTGCAGATTTGAACTCAGGTCCTCACATCTGTGTGGCAGACACCTTACTCACCAACCTTTGTTCTATTTTTTAGGTTTGTTGCTAAAACTGAAATAAGATGACAGTATTGTGTCAATTACAAAGCAGCTTGTCGACATTGAGTTACCCCATTCTGATGATGTGCTATTAAGATACTTAGATGAGGGGCTGGAGAGAGGGCTCAGTGGTTAAGAGCACCGGCTGCTCTTCCAGAGGACCAGGGACCAAGTCCCAGCACCCACACAGCAGCTCACAAGTCTGTAACTCCAGTTCCAGAGAATCTGGCATACATGATACATGATACAAAACACCAAAGCATATAAAATAAAAATAAACAAATCTTTAAAACAAGAAAAAAAGATACTGTGATGATTTATCCCAGCAGACCTAAAAAGCCCTGGCAAGTATATGACCTTTATATGAGGCAGAAGTGTATCTGCTTTGGTATGATCTTGGGTGGCTCTGTTGTTTATTTGTTTTGTTTCTCCCTAACCTTGGCTTTCCAGCTGTCTTTTCTCAGAAGAAGTTGACTTTCACAGCATCAGGTCTTTCCCACACTTTTTTATCTAAGGCTCCTTCAGAAAGAAGAGCTCAGAACGGGCTTGAACAACTTACGAACTGGATGACTTGGATTCAAGAGCTATTCCAGACCCATTCTGCTTGACATGCTACAGCACAGGCAGTCGATACTGCTAGACTTTCTAACTCTCTTTGGTTAAGAGCCAAAGGTACAAAAGGCCAGGGTCTGACTCAGCCGGCCATTCTTCCCTTTGCTCCTGTTTCCCCTCTAGTTAGCAGTGTTCCTATTATTTGGCATCACAAGAAAAGGAGCTAAAATTGGCCTTCTGAGGCCCTCCCGATTTCAGTCCTAGGTTAGGATAAGCCTTTTAGGAGAAAAGCCCATCTGCTGATAGGTCCATTGTCATCAATATCAGAACACACAGGGGTTGGTCATCCTCCTGAGGAGGCCCTTTTCCCAGACACCGGATTTCCTATGTCACCAAAGCCTTAAGCTCTCAGAAAAGGGAACAGAAACCACATGAGAAAAACAAAGATGAGGAACATAGCCCATCATACCCTGGGATAGTCTCATAGGAACATTCCCATGTCCTCCCTTTAAGGGCCTACATCTCAGAATAAGCATCAGCTGAACTGTCTGGTCTCTGGAAAAGCACAACTCCTGTAAAGAAATACTACCTGCTTGAGTGAGTGAAATGCTAGGTCATTCGGCTAGCGTTCAACCACAAAGAGCAGCCATGTTTCTATTGCAAAAAAGAATGAAAAGGAAAAAAAATACAACCTTAGTAGTAAAGTAGAGAAGTAAACATGTGTGGGCTTGAACTTTAGTGCAGAGGTTCAAAAGCTGGACACATGCTCACGACAACCCAAGAGTCACCACTGCTGTTACTACTGAAGCTCAATTTCTACTCTACAGTACCACAGGACACTCTCTTCACACGGGCCAGCCACCTGAGATCAAAGTCAGCCCAGCTGGCTGCTGTCACCTTTATCCCAGATGGCCCTGTGACACCAACAGTGCTAAGGGTCCCTTTTCCTTAAGGCTGTGAGCCACTGCACCAGGTCTCCAATAGGCTCCTCCCACCTGTTTCAGTCTCTGAGGTTGCTGCAGAAGCTTGTGCTGTCCTAGGAAAGAGCCGGGAGATGCATCTAGTGTGGTCATTCTATATTGTCATAGACATGAATCACGTCCTCGTAGTTGCTGAGCGCCTGGATGAGGCGAGCAGCCTGCTCCAGGTCAGGTTCAGCCAGCTGCACCGTCGAGTTGGGGATGAACTCCAGCGAACAGGACACAGAACACAGGCCCAGGGAGTCAAGTGTTTTCCTCACTTGATGCACAGAAGAAACATCACAAATAAACTAGGGATAAAAGAAAGTCAGGAGGTGAGAAGCCAGAAGTGATACCAGAAAGAGAACTTTGCAAAATCCTGGGTGGGGAAAACTTGTACTATATTATCATTGGTCTTAAGCTCACAGTTTCCAATGCTCAGACTCCTTACCAACTCTCAGGAACAGTCCTATCATTCAGTGTTCATATAATAACACTGCAATTTGTGAATTCTTTGCTTACTGTATCCCGACACACAGGAAGGCATCTATCAGGGACCCCTTGGAAGCCTACCAAACACAAAGGCTTCAGGTTGTCAGCTTGGAAGCAAGTACCTTTACTTGCTGAGCCATCCCACCAGCCCCCAGACTCACTTTAAACAGGTTCTTTTCTTCTTCGTCTTCAGCTTCCTTCACATCTTCAGCTCCTGCTTCGATTGCCAGTTCCAGGGCACGTTCCAGGTTCACAGCTTTCTTCTCTTTATCCTCGGCTCCAACCACAACCACTCCTTTTTTATCGAAAAAATGACGGGCTCCTTCAGCCATCATTCCCCTGACAGAAAGGGAACAGTCAAGGATGCATGGATGATTTTAGAAGCTCAGTCTCTACAAGGTGCTGCACTCTAACACTGTCCCTTACCCATTAGGCCCCTGGAGTACCCAGAGACACCCAGCAACTCTGTTCATGAAGAAGATGCAGCTAATGCTAGGTAAGGCAACCATCCAAGAGCACCCCACAGCAATGGAAAGCACAGATTAACATACCTTTAGGCAGTAATCTTTTGAGACAACAATTGAAACAGGTAAATAAAAGTTCCTTGTATATATGGCCCTCAACTTGGTTGGTAAGAAAACCCAACATGATTGAAGAACAAATGTTACAGAAGCAGAGGACATCTGACAGAAACATCACAGAGGACAGCAGACATCTGACAGAAAGCTGCCAAGGAGAAATTCGCCTGGGATCACTTCTAGAGGAAGATTCAGTTCTTCAAGTTCTGCTGGACACTCAGAGAGACTCGGAGACCTCAGAGCAGGAGGAGCCTCAAGATCAGAGCAGGGAACGATGCAGGAGCCTCTGAGACAGTGAAACAGAGCGATGAAAGACTATGGGTTGCATCAAAATTGATAAAAATCCGATCTGAATAAGAGAAGCCTCCAGATGAAAGGCTCGGCTCAAGGAAGTGATGCAGAAAGACAGCAATGCAGATGATGCAGAAAGCAGATCCCCCTGCATGTAGACAGCTTAACCAAACAGATGAAGAGGGACAGATAGTGCATCAGACAAGCAGACTGGAAAACCTTGATGCCAAAATGGACTGTTGCTGAAGGACAGATGATCAGGAATGCAATTATGAAGGATCATGGAATCAATGGTTGAGTGGATCTTCATGAGGACACCTGAACTGTTAAATTTGTGGGATTGAAAATTGTTTCTATTGTAAAAGTTAAATTGTATGATTTTTAGCTTAAACAGAAAGGGGAAAGTTGTAGAGGAATTTTAATTTAAACATGGCTTTTTTTTATAAAAGTAATCCTCTTTTAGTGTGTTTATTCAAACATAAGAAGACAGTTGGCCTTTTTTTTTTCCTAACAACAAAAAGCTAAGGGAGAACTTGAAAATGGCTGCTCTGGCAAGAGATCATATCCAAAGACCTTCTAGATCTGGCTGGAATACAAACAAGCCTTTAATATAAAAGACGGAGGCAATCAGACCTGAGTTCAAAGCTAGTCTGGTATAGAGCAAGTTTTAGGTAAAGAAAAGCATAGATCCGGGAGTAGGTGTACATGCCTTTACTCCCAACCAGTGAAGGTGAACTTAGTTGTAGAAGGAAGCATCCATGTTTGAAAGTGATGTCTAATTGAGTGGCAGAAAAAGTGACGAATCAAAAGATTTGACAGAACAGGATCTGCCCAACTCTCATGAGAAAAGAGACGAAAGATTAGCTACTTAATGGACAATGCAGACAGAGAGGAGGAAGTTTTACCAGGAGAGTTTTACAGAGAAGACAGGTTGAATGAGAGAACAAGCTAGACACAGGTGAAGACAGAACGAGCCAGAAAATGAGAAGGAGCAGAAGATTAGAACAAATTGCTGTAATTAGTTTGAGGCCAAGCAGAGCAATTCAGAGGCCGAGAGAAAAGCCAAATTAAGTCAGCTGGGAGAGGAGTTTGAGCCAGAACAGCTGAATTGAACCAGCCAGCTATGAGCTCAGAAGGAACAAGAAAGGGTGAGCTTATTAAGCAGTAAGACTCAGAGGCTGACAACATTCTCGGCCTAGGTTAGATTGTATGAAGCCTAGAAGCTTCCAGGACTAGGCCTAGGTTAGCAGACAGAGGCAGTAAGCCTCTGGACCAGAAGAATAAAAGTTCTTTTTACATCCCACCTTGTATTTTCTGCTCTCATCGGAGTCTGCAGGATACAACTTTACTCATTGTTTCCTGTTCCATTAAAATTCCTATCCTGGTAGAATGTTTTAAGACTGGGACATTGTATAGCTACAGATGAATAATGGGGAAAAGATCTCACTTATACCTGATGACTCTATCTCCGGGATTCTATCTCATTAAGAAGACACTAAGAAAAAAATCAGGACTGTTTTTGACATGAACTGATTGGCCTGACCTTTGATCATCTCCCCCTGAGGGGGAGCAGCCTTACCAGGCCACAGAGAAAGACAGTGCAGCTACTCCTGATGAGACCTGGTAGACTAGGATCAGAAGGAAGGAGAGGAGGACCTCCCCTATCAGTGGATTTGGGGAGGGGCATGTGTGGGATTGGGATTGGGAAGGTAAAAGGGAGGGGGTCACGGGGGGGATACAAAGTGAATAAAGTCTAATTAATAAAAATTAAAATTAAAAAATGGAAAAAAAAGAAAAAAATCAGTTATTACACTGGATTCCACTAAGGAAGAAGTGTGCTTAGAGCTTGAATTACTGATGAGGACCAACAGCATTTGCATTGCATAGAATTGGAACCTAAGCATCCTGTCTCCCTCCTCCCCCTTGTCCACACACACACTCACCCATTCTTGTTCATGATATATTTAATGTCCAAATGGCACTTGGGACCACTGTTGGATAACGCCTCGATGAGCAGAGAAGAGCCACCAGGGCCTCGACCCTCATACAGCAAATAAATGTCCTTGTTTTTCTGCAATTAAAGAAAAAAAAAATGCATTGTCCTGTTTCCTAATGTCCCAGTGCCCTTTCTGCCAGCACCAAACCACGGGCACTAAAAAGTGGCTCCCTGCGTGACTTCTCAAGACATGAGCTTATTGTCTCTGTCTTCTGAGAGGGAGCCAGCGGCATCAGCCCCTGAGATCACTGGAGTATTATCCCCTCTAGAAGAGTATGTCTCCCTGCCCCCGAGCAGCTCTGCTTCCAGCCCTCTCAAAGCACCCACGTCTGCTGCACTCACTCCTACCCTTACTCGTCTTCCTATGCTCCATCCCATGTGAAACCTACTTACAGGTTCTCAATGCCCCAAGCGCTGGGCTGCTGAGTGCAGCTATAGAGATGCCTCATATGTAGAACTTGCCGGGGGAGCCCCTGAATTCAGTACTGTAGCTAAAGTCAAGCAATCTCCAATTAGTTACAAATTTCCTCTGGGGTTTGGCTGCTTGGATTTGGATCTGATGTTTTCTGCATCACCTAAAGCAAGTCACCAAACCTTTCTGTGCCTTAGTTTCCATTTTAGGTCACTTTCAGGAGTCAATTAGATCTTGCATGCAGAGTTTTTATTAAAGGACTTAGCTGCACCCAATAACTGCTTGCTATTATGACAATTATTCTGGAGAGGGATAAAACACCTCTGTAGATTCTGCACCTTGTGAGGCTGAGGCAGGAGGATCATGAGTTCCATGCAAGCCTGGGCTACACAAAAAGATGCTGGTTGAAAATAAAGCAACAAAAACATAATTATTAACTCTTTAAATCCTTACCTGTTCCAGAAGAGGAAGCCCAGCATCTCTCCCACTCTCACCATTAATGTTGCCTTTAACCTCTCTCTTTTTATTGGCTTTTCTTCTTATTATTATTTTAAGTATATATAGACTTATTTATTTATTTATTTTATGTAGATGAGTGCTCTATCTGCATGTAGACCTGTATGCTAGAAGAGAGCATCAGATCCCAGTATAGATGGTTCTGAGCCACCATGTAGGTTCTGGGAGTTGAACTCAGGACCTCTGGAAGAGCAGACAGTGCTCTTAACCGCTGAGCTATCTCTCCAGCCCATGGCCTTTCTTCTTTAGACATAAACATTTGACAAAAAGAACAAGCCCTTCTCCAATGTAAACTCAGGACTCTCCCCAATCTTACCTGTCCTCCCTTCCCTATCTTCTCCAAGCTTGACAGGGCAGCTCTACACTCTATGGGTCTCCATTCTGTTTACCTAGCCTACTCCCAGTCATGTGCCTCTAACCCAGCACTTCTCAACCTGTGGGTCACAATCCTCTTTGGGGTGGAATGACCCTTTCACAGAGGTTGCCAAAGACCATTGGGAAACACAGATATTTTACATTACAATTCATCACAGTATCAAAATTACAGTTATGAAGTAAAGATAAAAAATAATTTTACGGTCAGGGGTCACTACAACATGAGGAACTGTATTGAAGGGCCAAAGCATTAGGAGGGTTGAGAACCACTGCTCTGACCAAAGGCTAACAATAGAGAATTCCCAAAGGTCTCTGGGTAGAACATGTCAACCAGGTTCCTACCCTTCCCCCTGATAATTTAAGGTCTTCGTGGTGGCTTTCCAAACATAGGCCGTCTTGGGGGCTGTGGTCAACAGTAACAACGTGAAACTAAGGACACACCTCTGTTTTCAGTGCTGACTCAATGGTTGACTTGGGCATATGCTTGCTGCGACACACCTCTAAGATGTTGGCCAGGCTGCTGTTGTTCTCAGGGTTAGGGCCACCCTCTAGATAAGGAGAAAAGAATGATCAAAGACAGCCTCTCCGATTCCCAAACAATGGGAAATTGCTCTTCATCAGAACACCGTTAGCTAATGAAGACAGCTCAGTGTGTAAAGTGCTTGCCTTGAAAGCAAAAGGACCTGAATTTGATCCTTAGATCCCACGTATAAGAAAACAGCAGCACCAGTTTATACTTCAAGAACCAGGAGGCAAAAACGGATCCTCAGACTCACTGGCCAGCTGGCCTGTCTATTTGGTGAACTCTAGGCCAGTAAGAGTTCTGAATCAAAAAAATAAAAAACAAAGCCAGAGAGATGGTGGCAAAAGTGCCTGTGCACAAGCCCAGCAACCTGGGTCTATCCCTGGAATCTACACATAGGAGGAAGGATAGAACCCGCTCCTGAAAGTTGTTCTCTGACTTCCATGTGCATAGACACACACACACACACACACACACACACACACACACACACACACAAATAACTAAGGTAAACAGTGGCTGAGGAACACCATCCAAGATTGTTCTCTATCTCCACATGCATGTACACACACATAGAGAGAGAGACAGTGAGAGACAGACAGACAGAGCAAGAAAGATAGAGATAAAGAAGGAGAGAGAGAGAGGCAGGCAGCATATTTCTGCTAGAGAAGCAGAGTGGTGCACACCTGTCACCTCAGCACTCTGGAGGCTTCGACAGGAGCCTGAACCTACATAATGAATTCTGGGTCAGTTTCAGTTAAGAGTCTGATTCTGGCCAGGTATGGTGGTGAACACCTTTAATCCCAGCACTCAGGAGACAGAGGCAGGTGGATTTCTGTGAGTTAGAGGCCAGCCTGCTCTACAAAGTAGGTTCCAGGACAGTCAGGGCTACACAGTGAAACCATGTCTCAAACAACAACAACAAAGAGTGAGATTCTGTCTCAAACAAACAAACAAACAAACAAACAGAAAATACTTAATCTCCTTATTCTATTGGAATAAGGAGGACTATTTTTCGAAAGAAGTTTTTTTGGTGGTGGGGAGTACAGGAAATGGAGCCCAAGGCCTCATCTATGTAAAATGCTGTGCTTTAGCACTGAACCAAATACCCAGTCTGGAAAAAAGTTCCTGATTCACTCTTGTCTCAAGGGATAGTTATAATGTTATTGGGTTACGGCAAACTCCCATTTTTGTCAGATGAAATGGATGAATCCCAGCATGGGGAGGCAGAGGCAGGTGGATTTCTGTGAGTTCGAGGCCAGGCTGGTCTACAAAGCTAGTCTGGACAGCCAAGTCTACCACAGAGAAACCCTGTCTCGAAAAACCAAAAAAAAAAAAAAAAAAAAAAAAAAAAGAGCGAGAGAGAAAGAAATGGATGAATCCTAACATGCTTGCCTCACTCTATTAGTGAGTTCAGCATTGGATTCATGCTCTGCTCAGGTTCCAAGGATAGGGGCTACACTGGATCTTCTTTGTAGTATCCCCTCCTGGATCAAAATATGTTGAGGAAACAAAGAAAAGCATGGGGCAGGAATTGTAGGGGTAGGTTCACATTAGCATAATGCCTTTTGTATGCTGTAAGCCACCCCAAGGTAGGTATTGACCTTGCATTACAGAAAATTAAGATTCAGCAGTTAAGCCACTTGTGAAGGTCACTGAATCAACCTAGCCAATGACAGAATTCACATCTTCCTAACTCCAGATCCACATTTTCCACAGGAGTTTTTCCTCAGGCACTTTTACCAGTGCCTGACACGAAAATGAGAATCACTGAAGAGATACATGGTTCCAAACTGTCCTTCCAAGAAAGGAAGGACAGTCTTGTGAGTTCTGCTGTGGGAAAAGAAAGCAAGAAATGACTTGACTCAGCATGTTTGCCACAACCTTCAATGGTCGTAGAAGCAGCTGCAGAGGTCGCAGTTTGTTGCTTCAAGAAACTTCAGGGGCTGGAGAGATGACTCAGAGGTTGAGAGCACTGGTTACTCTTCCAGAGGTTCTGAGTTCAATTCCTAGCAGCCACATGGTGGCTCACTAACATCTGTAATGAGATCTGGTGCCCTCTTCTGGTACATGCAGTCAGAACATTTTATACATCAATCTAAATAAAATAAAATATACTTAAACAAAACAAAACAAAACAAAAAAACAGCAAGAAACTTCAGGATGGGTTGTGACCTTTAATCCCATCACTCAGGAGGCAGAGGCAGGCCTCTGTGAGTTCAAGGCCAGCCTGGTCTACAGAGTGAGTTCTAGGACAGCCAAAGCTACACACAGAGAAAACCTGTCTCAAACAAAAATAAAATAAAATAAAATGTGTCTGTGTTTGTCCACACACATAATAAATGCAGTGCCTTGTGGAGGCTAAAAGAGGATGTTGGGTTCTCTGGAACTGGAGTTTCAGGTGGTTGTTAGCTGTCTTATGGGTGCTGGGAACCAAAGACAGGTCCTCTGTGAGAGCAGCAGGTGCTCTTAACCGTTCGTTCAGCTGTCTCTCCAAGCCCCGATTTAACTCTTAAGGTTTATTTCTTTTTTTTCCTCTTCAGTCATTTTATTTGATTTTTGAAACTTTTAAGATTGATTCTTTGTGAACTTCACATCATCCTTCCATCCCTCCAGATCCACCTTCCCCCCCCCCCCAAACCCTTGCAACCTCCCCAGCTAAACAAAACAAACAAACAAAAACTCGACATAAAAGCTGCGGTCTGTCGTGGTATGTCACATAGTATCCTCTTTTGTCCAAACAGCTTCACTTGCAAATGTTTTTTGCAATGGGTCACTGGTTTGGTTCAAGGCCTCTGGCTTCTGCCACACTTTCTTATGGTTTATTTCTATGAAGTACCTATCTAACTATAGACTTGGACGGAGTAAGTTCTAGCTTTCTAAGAGCAGTTCTTTGAAAGGTTTTTTAAAAAGAAAATCAGGAATATCCAGTGAAAGTAGGTGCATTGAGGGTTATGGATAGGACAACGGTGGCAACTGAAAAAGAAAAGAATCGGCCCTTAGTCCTGCTTGAGAAGCAAGTGAAGCCTAAGGCACAAAAAGAGCCTCAATGATCAACAGTGGGGACTGTCAGATTCTTCTCACCTTTAACTGCCAGGCGGATACTGAGAACGAGTTTAGAGAAGATTCGACTCCTTTCCATGTCCTTGGGGCCCTTAATGTGCCGAACTTTGGACCATTTATTGTGTCCTGCGGAGGTCGCCGCGCTGACATGCAGTGTCCTGTGTGGAGCTGCAACGCAGCTGGGGTTCCTATGTTGGGAGGCGCACCAAGGACCCACGCGGAACCCGAGGCACCGCGCACGAAAGCAGCGAGCAGCTGTCTCTCTCAGGCTCGCGGCAGCCCAGGACATCATCGGCTTCCACAAGGGTCTGCAAGGTGCAGAGGAGCGGCCAAAGTCAGCCTGTCTAGTCTGGTACCGCAACAAGCCAATCTGGATGTTCCGACTGCTTCTGAGAGTCTCCAGAAACTTAACGATTCAGTCCACCTGAAGCTGTGCAGCTGAGTGACCCCGCGGCGGCCGGGCGCGGGGACCCTTAATGCTACAGTACACTTCCTCTCCCTGGTCCATCGCGAAAACACGTCCCTCGCTCCTGCAAAGTCAGTTCCGTCGCTTCGCCGTACTCGTTCCAGCCTTGTCCCTGCTAGGAGTGACGCTGTCCTCAAGCTCGCTGTCGCCTGGAGAAGCCAGGTTTCGTTCCATTAGAGATCCATGTGGCTGGTTTTCCTTCCTAACCCTGTGAGCAAGTCCAGAATAATAATTTTTTGTTGTTGAAAAAAAGAACTATGTAGTTCAACCGGTTCGTTTTACAGGTAAAGAAACCGCCGCCAAGGTTGCGTATTAAACAAAACAAAACACAACAATAACAGACAAAAAAGTGCCGGGCGTGGTAGGCCATGTCTGTAATTCCAACACAGGAGCGAAAGTCTGGGACATCAGGACCATGTCTCAAAATTTAAAAAAAGCAAAAACTTTAATTAAAACAAACAACAAAAACAAGAACAAAAAAAGTACGCCAGCAGCCAGAAAAGTGATTTCCCTAGTCCTTTAAGACTTGCTGATATCTAGCTGGTAGTGGAGTGCGCATTTAATCCCAGAACTTGGGAGGCAGAAGCAGGCGAAACTCTGCGCCTTAGAGGCCAGCCTGGTCTACAGAGCCAGTTCCAGGACAGCCAAGGCTACACAGAGAAACCTGTAAAATAAACAAACAAACAAACAAATAAATAGAGAATGAATGAATAAATAAATAAGAAAAATTTTTAAAAAAGGAGAAGAAAGAGAGAGAGAGACTTGCCCTTTTTGCCTCCTCTGCCGCCATGACACTCGTGAAAAAGCTTGTGAGGAAAGGAGTGGGGAAGCAGGTTTTGAAGTTCATCCTTAACTACACCCATCCTATAGAAGATGGAATCATGGGAACTGCCCATTTTGAGCAGTTCCTCCAGGAGAGAATCAAGGTGAATGGGAAAGCTGGGAATCTTGGCAGAGGAGTTGTGACCGTCGAACAGAGCAAGGGCAAGATCACTGTCACTTCTGAGGTGACTTTTTCCAAAAGGTATTTGAAATATCTCACCAAAAATATTTGAAGAACAATCTTTGAGATTGATTGCATATTGTCGCCAACAGCCAAGAGAGTTATGAATTGCGTTACTTCCGGATTAACTGGATAAAGAGGAGGAGGATGGAATGGTCTGGAATGTTTTGTATTAATTCATAAATAAAATTTAGGAACAACAAAAAAAGACATTGATTTAAATTTTTATTTCTGTAAAGGATGGCACTGCCTGTTTTGCCAACCGATACTGGAGAGTTGAAAATATAACATAAAACCCTGGAGTTTGAAAAAAATTGATATGTAAGTAGCAGCTGTAATTATGATTGGGGATGAGTCAGATAAATCACCAGCTTTGGGAGAGAGGACAAAAGATCAGGCTAACCTTGGAGTCAGATTGCTATCTTTGTTTTCCATCTGCTGTTTAAGCATTATGTCAAGTATTTTTTTTTTTAATTTATGTAGTTGTTTTGCCTGCACATGTTTGTGCAATACTTGAGTGCACGGTGCCTGCAGTGATCAGAAGAGAACATCAAGATAGCCTGGAACTGGAGTTACAAATGGTTGTGAGCTGGCATGTGGGTGCTAGGAATTGAACCTTAGTCCTTTGGAGGAGGTGCCAATACCCTTAACTGCTGAGCTGTCTCTCCAGCCCCTTCCATCTGCTCTCTTGACTGAGAAACCCAGGGCGAAAAAAGGATGCTATGGAAAAGTAAAGAAAAAACAAAGTAGCAGCTGCCTGAAATCCTCTGTAAAAGCCCCCCAAGGGCCATTAAGTCTCAAGAGCTTAACACATTAGAAAAGCAGACAACATGAAGGCTCTCTACAGTTAGACTGGAGGGATTCAAACTGTGTTTCTGCCATTTACCAGTGCAATCTTGAGCAAGTCCTTTATTTTATGTTTCCTTTCACATACAATGGCCTTGAAAAAGCAGGATGGGGCAAGGGGCACAGGCACAAATTTTATATTATTACATAAGTGTGTCCATGATTAATCTACTTGTCTTTCATGTTCACACCCTGCTGATACATCTCTATGGGAGTGCATTACAGTACTGTAATTCCCATATTGTAGTTGTTTTGTTCTTAAGTAAGCTTAATTGACATATTCTACATATAATACAGGGCACCAGTGTGAAGTGTACAATGAGTTTTAGTCTATTAACCATGTAGCCATCACCACAACTTAGATGTTTTTGTCACTCTAAAGGAAACTTACAACTCATTAGCAGTCTCTCTTCCCCTCAACCGTCACAGGTCTGGACACCAGACTTAGTTCTGCCTCTATGGGAAAAGAATGCTTTTGTTGAACATTTCCTATTAATGGAAGTAGGTGATATGTGGTCTCTGTGAATGATTTCTTTAGCATGCATCCTCGTGTGGTGGTGAGAATGGCCCCCACAGGTTCCTATGTTTGAATGCTCGGTCCTCCATTAGTGGAACTGTTTGGGAAGGATTAGGTGGTGTGGCCTTGTTAGGAAAAGTGCGTCAGTCACTAAGTGTGGACTTGGAGGTTCCAAAAGCCCACACTGTTCCAGGTGGCTCCCTGCCTTTGACTTGTGGGTCAGGATGGATGTAGGCTCTTCATTACTGCTCCAGAGCCTGCCTGCTTGTCACCATGCTCCCCTCCATGGTGATCGTGGATGCTAACTGTCTGGAACCATGAGCAACAGCAAACAGTTACCTTGGTCATTGTGTCTCCTCACGGGAAATGTAACTAAGACACCTACTTACCTTTGTTAACCTGACACAGCCCTAGAGTCATGTGAGAAGACAGCCTCAGCTGAGAGGTGAACAAATGAGATTGGCATGTGGACAGACCTCTGTGTGAATCTTACTTTCAGAGGACAGTCCAGACCACTATCAGCAGCACTGTCCCGGGGCAGGTGGTCCTGCACCAAGAAAGCTAAGGTGCTGGAGAGGTGGCTCAGTGGGGAAAAGCACTGGCTGCTCATCTAGAGCATCTGGGTTTGATTCTCAGCACCCAAGTGGTGGCTCACAAACAACTGTGACAGCAGTCCTAGGGGATCTGATGCCTCTTCTGGCCTTCACTGGACAAATAAATAATGCACAGGCATACAATGCAGGCAAAATACCCAGACACATTAAAAAAAAAAAAAAAAAAGTCAAGCTAAGCCTGAGTCTCACATACTGAAGTCACATACGTCTCTCTCTCTCTCTCTCTCTCTACCACTTAACACAGCCTGAGCACCAATTCTTTACCACTTTTGTTTCTTTTGAATGTTCTTCATTGTGAAGGACATGCTTCAGTCCTTCTGGTGAATTCATGCGTCAAGACGCTCCTCATTTGGCTGGAGAGATGGCTCAGCATTTAAGAGCACTTGATGGTCTTGCAGAGACCCTAGGTGTGATTCCCAGCGCCAAACAGGGTGGCTCACAGCTTTTGGAACTCCAGTCCTAGGGATCCGATGTGCATGTATGTGCGTGCGCGGGAGAGAGAACACGAGAGCACATGCACATTCGCCATTCATCTGTGGACTGTTTGAAGCTCCTGCTTGGTTCTTGTCTTGATTTCCCTCAATGGTAAGACCATGACCTGGAAGTGTAAACCAAATGAACCTCTTCCCACCCTAAGTTGTTTTTGCTCATGGTGTTTGTGATTAGCAATAGAAAGGAAACTACAACAGCATGTTTTCGTGGTTCAGCAGCAGCATGTGTCGGTATTTCCTTCTATTGCCAAACAATACTCCACTGAATGAACATTTTACTTATGCATTCCTCAGCTGAGAGGTGTGCTTCTACCTTATATCACAAACACCATAACCCTGCTTTTTTTTCTTTCTTTCTTGAGACAGGGCTGTTTTTCTGTGTAGCCCTGCTGTGTTGGAACTCACTCTGCAAACTAGGCCATCCTCAAACTCAGAGATCAGCCTGCCTCTCTCCTGAGTGCTGGGGGTAAAGGAGTGTTCCACCACTGCCTAAGAACTGTTTGTATTTCTCTTGCATATATGCAATGAAGTGGAATTTCTGTCATTTCTTACCCATGCTTAACCTTTCAAGGGACAGCCAGACTTAAAATAGTTTACATCAATTTATATTTTCACCCATGTTAAAATGGCTCAGTTTCTCCACATCTTCACTAAACATCTTTTTTTATATAGCTATAGTCATTCTGCGGTGCCAAGTGTTGCCTTGTGATGGGGTTGTTTTTGTTATTTTGACATTTTTGATACTTAATGGCCGAGCCATCTCTCCAGCTCTTCTTGTTATATTGAAACAGGCTCTCCCTATGTATCTCTGGCTAGCCTGGAACTCACTGTGTAGACGAGACTGACTTCAAACTCACAGATATCTGCCTGCTTTTGCCTTTAACATGCTGGAATTAAAGGTGTGTGCCACCATGCCCAATGTCCTGAAGTGGTTTTATTTCCTGACTACCAAAGTGAGCGTCTTTTCATGTATTTTTCATTTATATTATTACTGTTTCTGAGATGGGAGTCTCATGTAGCCCAGGATAGCCTCAAACTCACTGTTTGAGCTTGCTGAGATTGCCCTTGAACCCCTGATCTTCCTGCTTTAGCCATCTGGGTACTAGCATTACATCTGTGAGCCATCCTGTCCAGCACACAAAATATTTGTTTTTGTGTATGTCTTGCCTATATCTACATATGCACCACATTCATGCCTGGTACCTGAAGAAGCCAGGAGAGAGTCATATCCTCTGGAACTGAATTTACAGGTGGTTGTGAGCTGCGATGTGGGTGCTGGGACCCAAGCTCAGGTCCTCTGCAAAACCAGCAAGCTTTTAACTCCTGAGTCAACCTTCTTCCCCTTTTAAATGTGTGCACGTGCATGCATGCATTTATTTCTGGGTCTCTGTGTGCAGGTAACCATGGAGACCAAGAGAGAGGGCACTGGATCCCTTGGAACTGGAATCAGTCAGTTGTAAGCTACTTGATGCAGGTGCTGGGAACTCCCAGGGTTCGTCTTCTTTCTCCCCAGTGCCACAATGGTTTTTATAACTTAGAAATACAGCTTCTATTTCTCAAGACAGGGACTCTATACCAGGCTGGCCTCAAAACTCAGTGAAAAGACCTTGGGACCACAGGTGTGCACCACTACGCCCAGTCTTCTGTAGTGCTGAGGACTGAATTTAGGGCTTCGTGCATGAAATGCAAATTCTTTACCAACTGAGCTACACCCTTAGCCCAAGCTTATGTTATTTAGTAGCCAAGAACAAACACAATTAGTTGCCCTAGGCAGATAGCCAAGTTCTCCAAATCAGGTAGCACAGAATAGCATCATTACCTGTTGACCATCTACCTGTACATAGAGCAGTAGCACTACTCTTCTAGCATTAGCCTTGAAAATAAGGCAGAAATCATGTCTCTTCACAAATGGGTGTGGGGTGTAAGAGCTCACACATGTACTCTAAACACTTGGGAGCCTGAGGTAGGAAGATTACCACAAGCCTGAGGCTGGTCTCGGCTACAGTGAGTACCGGGCCAACCTGTCTCAAAAGCAAAAGCCAAAACAGGCAAAAGAAAACTCATCCTCTCAGAGGCGTTGCTGCATATCTAATATGTGAGCCAAGCATATAGTACACAGTGTAGCCGCTGGGCTGCAGGCCGAGTAGCAGACCCAGACAGGGGTATATAGCAAGATCCTGTCTCAGAAAAAGGGAGGAGGTGCTGGGGAAATAGTTCAGCTGGTAGAGTGCTTGCCTGCTGTGATGGTTACACATTTGGTTTGGTTTAGAATCATCTGAGAGCCGTGCTTCTGTGAGTGCATTTCTGGAAAAAGTTAATCTAGGGAGGAAAGACCTTCTCCCAGTGTGGATGGTACCTTCCTCGGAGAAGCCTAGATACAAAGAGGCTTGGGGTGGGGCGGGGGGAGGGGGAGGCTGGAATAGTGCTGCTTTGCCTGCTGTCCTTCCCTCTTGGCTGGCAAGTATATCTACCCTGCTGCTGCTGCTGCTATCCTGTCCTGACACTGAAGACCAGAAGCTGCCCAGGAATCCTCCAGCACCAGAACAGGACTGCTGAGGCTGGCAGCTTTGTGAACTGAGGTATTACTGGGCTTTCCGCCTCTCTAGTATGCAGATGGCTATTACTGGACTATCTGGCCCTATCATGTGAGCCCGCTTAATCAATCTCTGTTCATTATATTCATTCTATCAGTTCTTTTTCTTCAGGGAGCCCCAATATTACCTACCACGTCCAAGTCCCTGGGCTTGAGCCCCGGCATTCGATAACCGGGGTGTGGTGATACACATCTGTTATCCCAAGGTAGGGGGGGCAAGAGGATATGAAAATTCTAGGTCATCCTTGGCTACACAGTAAGTTCAAGGCTAGCTCCAGTTACAGACATCCTATCTCAAGAAAATAAATAAAAAGCAAGTCAGATCCTGATTAACCTCTGTGTTTTCCAAAGTCTCACTCCAAAAGCTTTCTAAAGTACAAGGACACCCCCTGGCCTGGCTGCTGCTTTCCCCTACAGTCACACTTTCTACCATTCTTCACACACATCCACTGACTTGCAATTCTCTGAATATGACCATACTCTGTCCTGTTTATGTAAGTTTGCACATGACTATTCTCTTTGCCTTAGGTGGCATTCCCTACTTTCACTCAAGTCTTCAAAACCCAAATCAGACATCTTTCATCTTGTGACATTTTCCTGACCCACTGTGGCTCTTACTCAGACATGACTGGCCTCAGGGTTCCTGAACATAGCCACATTACTGCAGAACACTACAAGTATGTGTGTATCCCTTAAGCAAAGTATAAGCAATCTGAGGAACATGGCCCTTGGCATGGAATAGGTGTCCATGTTTTCTTAATTGACTAAAAAGTGAGTGAACAAACAGGAGACACAGGTAATGAGTTGGGCCATCAGAAAACTGTGTTGAACTGGGGTGGAGTTTAATGGCCTACCAGTACCTTTGAAACAGGACCACAGGAACAAACTGAATTCATCACAAGAAGAAATTCAATCTATACATGTTCAAGTTTTATTACAAAGTGTGATGGGCAGAAAATACGGTACTTCTTATACAGGAGGCTGAAACAGAATGAAACCATGAGATTAGACTTAATGTACGTAGGGAAAAGTAAAGTCACAGAAGGAACACTCCACCCTCGGGTGCTTTTGAAGTTACCTCCAGTGGAGAAACCGCAGCTCGTTCACAGCACAGTGTTAAATTTGTATGACAAGCCCTGTGTACAATCAGCCCTGTGAAAATAATATTTATAGAGGAGAAATGATTACAGTACAGTTCTGCAAAGGGACAGCTTCCTCTCCAGCTGAACAAGGGATGCCACAAAAGCTTTAGAACAGAAAGAGAGTTTAAATATGTAAGAAAGTAAGTTCATACACATGAGATTATAAAGGGCACAGAAGTGGATAAGTTAGAGCTTAACATTTTGTAGAACAAGAAATCTCCATGTCTACACAGAGATTTATACAATCATGCTATAATTCACACTCAGGCTGGGGCAAGGGAAAGTCACTGACAGGGATCATAAGATACATGGGACCAAAGCAAGTGACTAAAGCAATTCAAAGCTTCAGCTCAACCATTTTTATCACATTGTACATCACAATCAGCCCAAGGTGAGAGCGTTCCTTCAAATGGAAGATAGCACAGTTCGGCTCCACCGAGTTGTCCCAAAGGCGGGTGCCGGCACATTTTCCAGTTGTCACACAGACTGTCAATATCTTCCTTCTGGAGTTCAGGCTTCCCTTAGCTTATTGTTCCTGGCTGACACACTAGTCCAAGTCTCTTGGAGAAGGCATCCGCATGTTTCCACACTTAAAAAGTGACATCCAGATGGCAGCCCAGGAAGACCTGCTCATTCCGCCATGCCATATGCTTGACTCTGACCATTAGCAGCAATGACAGTATGGGAGAGAGAACGTAGACGGCTCAGGGTGAAAAGGCTCAGAGACATGAGACACTCAGCTGCTGCCTCACCAGAGCAGCAAGGACAGCTCTGGGAAAGCCTGGCTCAGGGTTCATGGTGACTTTGCTCAGGTCAGCTCTCCTCTCAGAAACCCCAACTTAAACATCAAGCATGCCCCACCGTCCTCGTGCTGAGTACAGGCTCTAGAGGAAACGCTGTGTTTTGAGTCCTCTACTGCAACGGTACTCTCTACCCTAACCCAGGTGAGCAAATGAACTGCCATATTTACACAACGGGGAAAGTAAGGTGCAGTTTTGGACTTTCCAACCATGTTTAGTAAATCCCAGAGTCCTACATGTCCTTACAGCCTAGGAATCTAGGGCCCAGGATGCATCAGGGAGAACATTTTACAGTGGAAAGATAATAGGGAAAAATATAAGAAAAATGAAAGAAAGGTGGCTAGAGAGTGTAGTTTAATGGTAGAACATCTGCCTAGCATGTGCGGGCCTGCATTTGAGCCCCATCACCACATACGCAAAACAGAAAAATGAAAAAGGGGAGGGAAGATAAAGGAGGAAGGGGGGCTACAAGAAGAGCCATGGACACTGGGCATAGACCTGTGATCCCAGCATTCAGGGAGACTGAAATAATAGGATCCTAAGTTCAAGGACAGCCTGGTCTACAACACAAGAACCCACCTCAAACAACAGTTTCACCATGTGCTGTCCGGATACCCAACACTTAGAATTTAACCACTGGACATCGCCTACAGCAGCGCTGCTGCACAGAGGGGCTCTCTCTGCCCCTAGCCAGTGATACAGAAGCTTGATTATTGGTGCAGGAAGGTCAAACTATGCTGAGGCACAGGCTCACTCCCCTCAGACCCTCTATGTTCTCCAGTATTATTTCCTCTTCCTATACCTTAAAATACCAAATTTCAGCAGTAACAATCATCAAGACACTGTAGGATTCTTATTTTTTCCTATTCTTCCTAAATTGTAGCAAGTTATGAGACATGATTCTGATTTTGGTAGAAAATTACCACCCAGTTGTCATGTGTCATCACTCTTCAAGCCCTAACCCTGCAGGCCAGGAGAGAAATAATCTCCTGTGGGAAAAGCTCAAGCCCATGAAAGCCTCAGACCCAGTCACCACGTCAGCTCTCTGTCAGCCTGACTGAGCATGCAATCTCCCATAGAGCAGACACAGGAAGCACAGGCCAGAGCTTGGTTTAGCCTGCCAAAGCCAAGTCAAAACAGCATTGCAGCCACTGGAGGACCGCAGGTCTGGAGGTCCCACTCACTCCTGTCAGTCTAAGAACTGGCAAATTCAAACACAGAGTGGCTTTTGAAACTTTAACAGACCTGTGCTTCAGGGAAGGCTACACAACTCTCTGCATCTCAAGGCAACAGAAACCTCGTTCTCAGCTACAGAGGACCTATGCACGCTACAGAGAGGGTGAGCGAGCTGGCACGTCAAATGCCAGCAACCCTGCAACTGTGGGTGCATGTGTATTTGAAGATGGAGACAGCAAGAGTCTTACCTGGTCCAGGTGACAGGTAGAGAAGGAAACCGAAGAAAGACGGCAAACGTCCACAGAGCATGGGAAAAAAACATCACAAGTGGTTGGTTTCCAAAGCACATAGCTGTCCCATACAAATCTATTCTAAATAACTACTGCTAACCTTTTAAAACTTCATTTTCAAGTTTTGGTTGACAAATCTCATCATTCAGCCCAAGTTTAAGTCCACCCAGAACAGAGGCGCTGCCCAGGAAGCCCACTGCCAACTCTAACTTCCACTGTAGACTCAGCCCAGGAAGAAACTGAGGGCTCCTTCAGCAGCAACCATCAGCAAGCCTGCTTCCCTTGAGGTGCCTGTACCTAGCTAGCAAACACCACTAAAAGCAGAGATAACCACAATTGTACTCTCTATATGCAAATGATCCAAGACAAACCACACGCTAGTGCAGGAATATTAATCTCTAGCAGATGGCCAGCCAGAGACCAGAAATCAGGGTGACAAACTAGGAAGGCAGAGGGGAAACACCCTGACTGAAAATGCTTTTCCTTTGGGAGAAGCCCCCAAGTAACGAAGCAATCTAAGACTTTTGGTATACAACTACATCAGCTGTAGGAAGCAAGCAAAGACTCAGCCAGAGAGTCCATGTGCCCAACAGAATGAGTCAACATTTATTTCTCCAGCAATGGCAGCGTGAGTGTGCAAAACCATCAGCTTTCAGGCCTGCTACCCTCCTCCAGTCAGAGAGTCTGAGAGACCTGCAGGCAGCTCAGCAGGGCACGAGCCAGGAACACTCTCCCCAAGACCATGCCCCAGACTCTGCCAGGGACTCATCAAAGACCAGAAGCACATGCAAGTTCCATCCATGGAACCCACTAATGTAACGGAAACAGACACCTGAGGCCTGGAAGTCAGCCTGGCCAACTGCAGCCTGCAAAGTCCAATACTGCTCAGAATCTAAACTGAGGTGAGGCACGTGCCACAGGTGTGGAGAATCTTAGCTGCCTGACTCTGGGGCCCTTGATTCTTTTGTAGCCATTTACTTGGTTACTGCGATCACCACAGCCCATCCTTTATGACAACTGCTTGTCTATCTCAGTCTAAAGGTCCTGTTCAGGGTCAAGCACAGATGGCTCCTCTCAGGAAGTCTCACATTCTGAGCAATCAATCCAAAGATGGGCCAATATCCCACCGAGCAGAGGAAACTTAACAAACAGAAACAGCAAAACTTAGCTTAGAGAGTTTTCTTGCCTATCGTTCAAGTTCTAAAATGGAAAAATAGATTCTAAAACCAGGTACTGGAAACACAATGTAAATTCAGTTTTCCTGAAACAATTCTCCTTCAGCCTGGCCCCTGCTTATCTCAGCTCCACCAGGTACTCATTAGTGAAGCCAGAGAGAGGAACATGAGGGTGGAACAGAAGGCTTCCTGTATATCCTGGACCTGTGTGGGCCTTCAGGAGACCCAAACTGAGAAAAGGTTGGTGAGTCAGCAGACTTTAGAGCACCAGGGCAGTTGTGAACTCCTGGTCAAGGGTGTGCCACTCAGGCAGTGACTCAGAAGGCAAACTGCTCTTGGGGTCTAGGGTCCAGTACCCACTGCAGGCACTGAGGGAAGAGAAGAAGGTACAAAGAGGTAGGGAGGACTGGGAAACCAAGAAACCAGGAAGATTAAGTTCTTTTCATAAAAAAATTAGCCTGATAGATAAAAATATACAAAGTTGAGGTTTGTTAAAAGACACTGATAGCAGGAGGAAAGACAATCTGAAGTTGGCATTTGTTCCCACTTAAGTGCTAGCATGGACATGGATGGGGACAAGACAGGGGCTACTGCCTTGGGCAGTAAACAGACAGACATCAGGGGCAAATGGACACAAACAGAGCCAGTACTTGTACTGTTCATGAACACAACAGTTGACAAACAAATACACAGAAATGTTTAATTGAAGAAGCAAAGAAGAAGAAAGGAGTGAAAATCTTAAAACCCAGCCCTGGGCTGCGGTGGCGCCACACAGCACAGTCCAGCACAGACAGCAAAGGGTAACTGGCCTGGACTCCTACAGCAGCTTCTAGACATGGTGGGTGTAAAGCAACAACAGACATACTGGCCACTGGAAACATCTTCTTACGTGGGGAGGGAAGGGGACAGAGGCTGGAACACACAAGCCCCTGCCTGGTAGGTGAGGGGCCAACACTACACACGGAGTATCTCCAGGCAGTTGTTATAGCAGATTGCGATCCAGTCAGGCTGGGTTGAAGCCCACTGTACATTGTTGATCTCTCCTTCAGCTGTGTAGGCCAGAATAGGGTCCTCGATGGCCCGAGGCATCTGCTGGATGTCCCAGATGAGAGCCTGATGGTCATCCGCTAGGGAAAAAGCAACCAAGAACACCATAGCTCAGGCAATGCGGTAACCATCTTGCATTTGGAGAGCCAGACACAATCTGAGAGACGTTTGCTCACCAAAGCTTTGTGAGAGGGGTTTCATCTTAGAGATGAGTAAACCAAGATTTAGCAATGTCACCAGACTTGCTACCTCATGCCACGTAGCCAGTGAGAGACAGGGTCAGGACCCAGATCTAGGTTCTGACTCCACATTCCAGGTGTCCTTAAGCTCCAGTCAATGCACCAGGGTTAGAGAACTGGATCAGGACACTAGAGTCAGGAATCAGGAGAGGATATGGGATACAATGATCCCAAAATATGATGTCACTTTCAGCCACTAAAAATACATCAGTGGATTAAGAGTCTTCCCTGTATCCCACTTTATGTACATTTACACTTCAATGAGCTGTACAGATGACCAACATAAAGTGCTGTATAGACATGCACCATTAAAAAACTTCCATCTATGTCTGTAATCCCAGCAACAGGCACTGGGGACACAGCTGAGTGGTAGAGCACCTGCTGACCATGTTCAGTATCCTAGGTCCAATGCCCAGCACCATCAGAAAACAAACAAACTAAGCCAATTAACGTGCTCTGCTGGGGGTGGTGGCACATGACTGCAATCTTAGCACGTGGGAGGCAGAGGCAGATGGACTGCTGAAAGTTGGAGCTCAGCCTGATCAATACAGCAAGTTACAGCCAGTCGGCATTATACAGTAAGATCCTGCCACAACCAAATAAATAAACAAATAAACAAACCATAAAAAAAAATCATCATCATCATCATCTTATCACCACCCAGCACTCTGGAGGTAGAAACAGGAATGCCCAGATTCCGAAACCAGTCTGTAGTCTACATAGCAAGTTACAGGCCAGCCAGCACTACAGAGTGAGCTTGTGACTCAAAAAGAAAAAACAGATTTTTTTTTCTTCATGCAATGTTCTCTCTTGAGAAGCCCACAACGACCCGGCACAGTGTTCTTACAGCTGCCTCTCCCCCTCTCCTAATGGTCTCGTTTAAATCTTTATTAAAACCTGTTCTTGGTAAACTCCAACTTTACTTCATTTAAAAATAAATAAATAAAATAAACAAATAAATAAATACTCTGGCTGTGGCAGCGCATGCCAGCAATCCCAGCACTTGGGAGGCTGATACAGGAGGATCAGGAGTTCAAGGCTAGCTTTGGCTATAAAACTCTACCTAGAAAACAAAACAAACAAACAAAAAAAAAAAAAAAAAAGAAAAGAAAAGAAAACCTATAACCCCCAAAAGAAAAATATTTTCTCCAAGTAAAGAACTATGGGAAATACTAGTAATGAGTTTAAAAAAAAATGAAGCCATATATATGTGTGTATGTGTATACAAATGTATACACACAAATATGGCCTTTATGTATACGTTTGTGTGTGACTGTTGAGAGTGAGGGCACATACACACACATGAGAAAACGCTAGAAGAAAATATATCAAAATGAGAAAGGGAGCAATTTTGACTGGCAAAGTTACTGGTTATATTTCCTTTTCTACAGTTCCTAGGGGCTATGTAATAGGATGTATTATGATGGGGTTTTTTTTTGTTTTGTTTTGTTTTTTTGAGGCAGGGTCTCTTGTAGCTGTCCTTAAACTTGCTATGTACACCAAGGTTGGCCTTGAACACACAGAACGTGCCTGAGATGTGCACCAATACCCCTGGCTTCATGTTACTTTTGAAACAGAAATTTAATTAATTAGTTACTTTTATGGTCTTTCAACTCAGCGTTTCTCTGTAAACCCTAGCTGTAGTTATAACTCACTCTGTAGACCCAGCAAGACTCTTAATTTAAATCAAAAGAAAAAAGAAGCCAATGACTTTCAGATCCACAAAATCCTAAAGCTACCTCCTATCCTGGTATGGATGTTGGCTCTGGGTACCTAAGAATTTAAATACATGGAATCTTAATAGATAAGGCTGATCATGAGTAACACCAGGTTCCTACCAAGTCCACATAACATGGGCAAGGTACAAGATCTCCTCTTTGAGGAATGATCTACCACAAAGGATCTGGTTTATAAACACTCATCACCTCCAAAGCACTGTTTGTCAGTGCTCAGCTCCATCAAGAAAAGGGACTCAAGATGAATGCAACACACAACATCAGTGAGCCAGGCAAGGCAACAGCTGAAGGGGCTTCTGCTAGGCCACACTGCTCTCCATGAATAATGGCTTATCTCTTTCTTTTCCCCCTGTCCTCCTTATCCACATAATTGAAAGAAAGAAAGCACAGACCACAGCACAGGGTAAAGGTGGTAGAATACCCCAACCACTCCACAGTGAGGCACAGGCGTAGCTAGAGCAGATAGTGCCTCTGTGAACTAAAGTGAGGTGGGTTCACATTTAGAGGGTTTAAATGTGTATCTATACTAAACAGGTCTGGCAGGAGACACCTAAAGCATTGTGAAAGATCAAATACAGTGAGTGAGACAGAGGTAGAGAAAAATAGCAAAGAGAAAAGATGGCTTCTTCCTGTTACAGCTCTGTATTGTTTTCATTTAATCACAGATTTTCATCATTTCTAGAATAAAAGCACTTGATAAGCAGCACATTGTTAAGAAGTGCAGTCTTTGGGGAAAATAGCAAAGTGAGACCTGTAAGTCAAATGACTGACTAGGTAAGGCTCTGTGAAGTGTGAAAGGCCCAAGGTCCGAGGGACAATTCCTTGTAGTACCAAACATCCTGTTACAGGGAAGAAGGGGCTTCTTCCTGTACCCGAGTCCCCTGGAAGACCCAGATTCCTAGGGAACAGTGCATATTCCCCTCTAGAAATATATACATAGGCCTATGTCTGACACACACCACCATCACTAGTCAAGGAAAGATGCTCTGAGACCCACTGAATACACAAGATCATCTGGAATGTAGACTGCTTCAGCTCACAAATCTCTCAGAACTATCCTTGAAAACAATAAGGAAGTCTCCAAGAACGGGAAACTTCACTACCCTGATACTTCCTCCCGCCATGGTTACCTGCAGTGCAGATGTGGCAGGACGAATGTGGGGCCCAAGCAATGCCATTGACACATGCTCGGTGGTTGTTTAGCCTGGCGACAGGTGTGCAGGGAACTCGAACATCCAGGATCACCACCTGCGGAAAAAGGTGCAAAAATTGCAGAGTGCAACAGGAAAAACAAACCAAAAACCACCATCACACACAATTGTAAGCAAAATATTTTCAGTTGTGGATTTGAAGAATATTAAAGACAGGGTTTCCTGATGGAAGAAAAAAAAATAATGAACAAACACAGGCAGTGTATTCTCTGTGCTGAAAACACTGGGCCTTAAGACTAATGTAGAAGGGAAGCACGAGTAGGCAAGATGAGTTTGGATGATCCACAAGCACCTTTGGTAAGTGCCGATAAAAAAATCTGCACATCTTTGTTGCAGGATATTTGATCCCATTGTGAACCCTGAGATTGTGAACTGTAAAACCTGTATCTTGTTTGGCATGGTTCAGCCCAAACACACACCTTTAATCCTAGAGCTGTCTGTACACAGGATTAACCCTAAGTCAAGGAGGGAAGCAAGTGGCCAGCTGACAAGGTTGAACAGAAATGAGGGACTTTGAGAAAAGGGTATTTAAGACAGCGTGGAGAAGGAACGTTTGGTCTTTGGCTCTTTAGCTTTAGGCTTTCTTCTCCTGGGCTGTCAGGTGAGCTAGTGGGCCTTTTCTTTCTGGGCTGTCAGCTGAGCTAGCTTTTGGTTTTTTTCCTTCTGGGGCATGAGCTGAGCAGGAAGGTCAGCTGGGTTCCTTGACTCTCTGAGCTAGCAGGTTTTCACCACATCATCTGGCTCCTGAGTCTTCATTGGTAAAATTGAATGGTTGGGATTTTCAATTTTCTTTAACACATCTTAGCTAGGCAAAATCCTAGCTAAGGTAGAATCCAGAAAATAAGTCTGAGGACAAGCTTCCCCCAAACCAAGGCTAACCACTGCATCCTCTCAACCAACAATCCGCCCTTCTCATAAAAACCAGCAGACCCCGGAGCTTCTGTCTGTCCATCTCTTGCAACAGCTGGGGTCTGCTTGGAACACCAGGTGGGATGGCTGACTTCCTTACTGAGTGCCAGTAGAGATGACGTGGTTTAAATTGTGGTCATTTAGATAGTACTTGTCTTACCTTTTATTCTTTATTGTGAAATGTTTATTTGGATTTTTTAAATTAGTTGTACAACTAATACATGACAAATTACCAGATGAATTTTATATTATTTCTTCAGGACTAGAGCTTTTTGATGACTTCAAATATGGGATCTTCAAATCTGAAGCTAGGAAACATGCATACATTTGCTTAAGCTTAAAAGGCTCTTGCGAACACTCTGGGCCAATAACAGCAAGTCCTCCCAATGCCTTTCACTTTGATTTATATAAGTTTCTGTATAGGATCAGCTTCCTTGTTAAACACCACTTTTCCTCTGTAAACAGAGAGCCTGCTGACCAAAGGACAGGAGGAAGCTGACGAACCTCAAGAACCATGGTACTCTGTGGGACCTGCAGAGGGCCTCGCTGTGCACCCACCACCACTCTTCTTCTTGTCTTAGCTTTACTCTATTACAATTCCACTTATCTATTTATTACTTTTGAGACAGGGTTTCACTATATAATATAGCCCTTGTGGTCCTTAAACTCTCTATGTAGATGAGGCTGGCCTCAAACTCACAGAGATCTGCCTGTCTCTACCTCTCAGGTGCTGGGATTAAAGGTGTGCAGCACCATGCTCAGAAACAGTTTATTGGTTTTTGTTTGTTCGCGCGCGCGTGTGTGTGTGTGCACACACACACACACATGCATGTTTTGTTTTGTTTTGTTTTGTTTTGTACTGGGTATCGAACTCAGGGCCTTGAGCATGCTGGACAGCCTCTCTGCTAAGCTACACCCCCCACTCTAGTAGAAATTCATAGAAGGCAAGGCAAATTCAGTGAGTCTGCAGCTACTCTAGGATACACAGGAACTTCCAAGCTAGTCTGGGTTAGAGCGACTCTGTCTCACCAAAGAAGTGGGGAGGAGGTTATGAACAGCCCTTTTTGTTGATCAGGGTTCCTCAACCTAGGCCCTACTGGCACTCTAAGTAGACTGTCATTGTTGGGGGCTGTTTTGTGCACTGCAGAATGATTGGCAGGCTCCTTGATCACTACCCACTTGATGCCAAGAACACTCTTATGTTTCCCTCCTAACTCTTGACAACCATAAACACCTCTGGGTATTTCCAAAGATATCCTGGGCACAAAACTGCCACTATCTGAGAGCACTCTTGTAAATACATGAGGTGGAATGGAGTCAAGGGACAGGGCCTATGGGGCTTACCTCCATTCCATCCATGGCCATGGTGGCCAGGTAGTTAGGGTCCTGCTTATTCCAGCAGAGGCGAAGCAGTGGGTGATGCTGTGGGTCTTCGTAAATGATAGTGCTATGTTCCAGATGGCGGAGGTCAAACATCCTCACAGAGCCATCAGCACCCACAGAGGCAAACATGTCCCTGCCACCTCCGGCTCGGCTGAACGCAATATCATAGACCTGTTGGTAAGACAGATTCAGAACTGTCATCTCCTTCCCCATAGCATGGAGACCTGTCATTTCCAGTTCATCTGAACCCCAACTCATGACACAAAAGCAGGTAAGCTAGTCGCTTCTCAGAGAATAAACATCATTCAACCACAGATACTGGCTGACTTCTCCATATGTCCTGCTTTCTACTCTTCCCCTTAAAACCCCGTGATAAAACAAAAACAATATACCCAGCTAACCGGCCGAGCAGTTTTGTCTGAACAAAAACTCTGTGATCCAAGGCATGCATTTCCTGGGCTTTCGTGGTTTCACTTACATGCAATCAGATGCATATTCGTGACAAACCATATACAGTTCTACCGAGCTGGTTGAGCTACAGAACCTAGACCTGAGATCCATTCATAAGAAAAAGGTAATACAACTTTTGGCTTCGTGTTCTTTTAAGAGGGTGTCTGGGAGCTGGAGCTAAGACTTGGGTTAAGAGTACTTGCTGCTCTTGCAGAAGACCCAGGTTCAGCTAAGAGGGGTCTGTAACTCCAGTTCCAGAGGATCTGATACCCACTCTGGCCTGCACACTATGCACACATGTGATACAAGGACATGTGCAGGCAAAACACTTACAGACATAAAATAAAAAGAAAGAAATCTTGAAAATAAAATCTCACGTGGCCCAGGTTGACTCCAAACCTGCTATGTGGTAGGGGCTGTGGAAAATGTCCTATGTAGCAAAACAGCACTAGACAAAGCCTTTGTCTATCCAATGTGTCTGGCCTACGAAAACAGAGGCTTGATATGCAGTCGGCTGGTACCAAACTTCAGACTGTTTTTGCTTTGTTTTGTGTTCAAGACAGGGTTTCTCTGTGCAGCTTTGGCTGTCCTGGACTCAAACCTAGCCTTGAACTCAAAGAGATGCGCCTCTCTGCCTCCTGAGTGCTGGGATTAAAGGCATGTGCTACCACACCTGGCCTTCAGACTTGTCCTATCTTTACCTGGTAAGTGCTAGAATTACAGGCGCCCGGGATTCTCCTTTAACCACTCTTCTCCTCTCCTACTGCTTTAAGATGGTCACACGTTAGCCTTGAACTTGCTAAGTGTGTGTATGTGCACCTATACTCCTGGCCCTTCTGAATCACTTCATCTTACACAGGAGTATTTCTTTATGTTGATCAGTAATAGATGGGCATCTATTAGCAGTGTTTGTCTCTTAGTCTCCAGAGCATGTGGGGAACCTACTTTTTGTTTCTTTTTTTTAAAAATTTTATTTATTTATTTCAAATGTTCTATCTGTATGTGCACCTGAATGCCAGAAGAGAGCAGTAGAAGGTATAGATGGTTGTGAGCCACCATGTGGTTGCTGGGAATTGAACTCAGGACCTCTGGAAGAGCAGTCAGAGCTTTCAACCACTGAGCCATCTCTCCAGCCCCTTTTGTTTCTTTTTTAAAATCTGTATGAGTATTTTGGCTACTTGTAGATGTGTGGACTGCATGAGTAGCTGGTACCTACAGAAGCCTTTAGAGGGCATAAGATTCCCTGGAAGTAGAGTTACAGAGAGTTATGAGCTGCCGTGTGGGTGCTGGAATTGAATCTGGGTTCTTAGGAAGAGCAGCCAATGCTCTTAACCAGGGTCGTCTCTCTAGGCCGGACCCTACATTTTTTATAAGATATTCTACTTATTCCTCCTTCCAGATGTCAGCTGTCGTTATTACCCAAGACTCTAAAATGTGTGTTTTGTTTTTGGTATCTGTTTTCCTGAGCTCAAGTAACTGCTCCTTCATCCATGGCCCACCTGTAGAGTTAATCAGGAAAAGGGAAGGTGGCAGCTCCCAATGTGCTAAACTGTCCTCTACTACAGCTAGCAGGCAGCCATCACTCCTCACAGGGCGTATCCTCAGGCAGAGCTGCCATCCGAAGACTTCTTCTTTCCACTCCTGATCTTCCTGTATCACGAGACCTGATTCCTAGAGGCCAAGGTTGGCTGAGTCCCAGGTTTGCTATTTGCTTGTGGATGGTTCAGCCAGAGGAATCCGAGCCAGGCAATTGACTGCTGGGAGGCAAGAAGAAGCTAGGTGCTTATCCTGCCTCTCTATTCAGAGGCATGTCTGCCAGGCAAATCCAGACTCAGGGAGCCAGTAACCTTCAGCCTGTAAGTAGGGGTGGCCTCCTGCTACTTCACTCTCAATTCCTTCACTGTGTAAGCATTTCCTGGTGTAAATCCCTTACGTTTATTCTTGCAAGGCCCTCCTCACCCATATTGGGGGCTGACCCTTGGGCGTCACAGATGCTAGGCAAGCACTCAGTCATCAAGCTCTATTCTCAAACACGCTTGAGTGCCTCCTACCTTTGGGTTGGCTCCAGCCAACCAAATGTCTGCTTCCTTTAGTGGTCATCTCTGCAAACACACTCTTCATTTGACCCTTGTCTTGGCAGGATCTTACTCTCAGGACAGCAGAACACCTAAGATCAAGCCCTCAGAATGGTACCTGGCACCACCTTGATACTCTGTTGATGACCTTAAGGCATAGTTTTTCTTATACAAATACTGATAGTACTCGCCATGCAAGTGGAAGGGCAGCAAAGGAAACAAAACATGGACACAGGCGCTATGGGAGCAGTTATGGCCCCCCTCAGCTTTTCCAGTGAACACAGAAGAATACACCACTAATAAGACATATTTGCCTCCAACATGACCGAACATAAAAAGATTAAGTAAACACACTGGAGTTCACAGAATGGTTATAGAAAAAAATGGTTAATTGCGATTGTTTGTCATGAAATTTCCCTCCTTCCTGTTTCCCCCTACCTCCAAGATGCCATTATGTTTAGAGAGAAGTGCCTCTCTAAAACTATTCTTTAATCACACCAGCTCCTAGGATGTCTATAAAGACTTCATTAAGAAACAGCACCCTCTGGTATGAAGGGAAATGACGGAACGTAGGTTAATTTGTTAGTGTCGGCTGATGATGCGTTTGGGCAGGTGGGGTACCAGCCTGTGGTAAGAGCCTGCTGTGCAAGCCTGAAGACCTGCACTCATTTCTCAGAACCGCAGAGGAGCGACTCCCAAACACATGCACCATGGTACACATGTGCCTGCACGCACACTCTCTCTCTCTGGTATTAATAGTCATAAATAAAATATCTGTTATAAAGGTGCATTCGATTTTAAGTGTTTAACACATTATGGTTTTCAACCTAGACAAGACACATGCCAACATTATGATCTACACAACCTGCCAAACATCGAGAGAACAGTATGACTTCTCACCTGCAGAGACAGAAGGAACCTGCAAAAGTGAAGAAAAGGAAAAACACCGTTACCTCTTTGTCGTGAGCAATTAGCTGGGTCTTCACATGGCCAGACACGAGATTCACTCGCCCCAGGACCTGCCCAGTCTCTAGGCCCCAGATGGTGCAGGTTGTGTCAATGCTTGAGGTACCTGTAGAAACAACAGCAGCTGATGAGGCAAGATTCCTATAGACTCGCTTCTTCTTCTGCTTGGCCCAAGGGACAACAGACCACAAACACTTCCTGAGCATTGACTTTTGTGTGTATGTGTTCTGGGAAGGGTACTTTCTTTTCTTTTCTTTTTCTTTTTTTTTTTTCAAGGCAGAGTTTCCTTCTGTAGCCTTGGCTGTCCTGGACTCACTTTGTTGACCAGGCCTCCAAACTCACAGAGATCCACTTGCCTCTGCCTCCTTGAGTGCTGGTATTAAAGGCTTGTGCCAGCTAAGGACAATTATTGAGACAGAATCTGATGTCGTTCAGGCTGACCTTGAACTCAAGATCCTCCAGCCTGCATTCCCAAGTGTTGGTATTATAGGAATGGACCATCACACCTGCAAGACCTTAGATTTTTAGCTGAAAAGATGTGATATACACACAGGGAAAACAGAGTTCCCTATGAGTAAGCTAATAACTACTTTCCATATTTAGCCCATCTTAGCCATGGCCTGTTTTAGGATGATGTGTGTGCCTCAAACCCCTGATAAAAATAGGCATAGGCCAAATCTGAGTAAACACATCTTCATTTTCTTCAAACTGGAATTCAAAGTCCTCACCTAGAAGATAAGGATCCACCTCATTCCAGTCAAAGGAGGTCAAGGGAGCACAGAAGTCCGAGTTCTTGTTATTGTTTAGCAAGCACTCCAGCCTGGTCTCTGTCTCACCAACCTGAAGAAACAATGAAACAACAAGTTTCAAACACAAAGAAATAAAAAGCATTACCCCACTAAAAACTGTTTGGCGAATCTCTTATAAGAGGAGAAAACATTTTTATGATAAAGGGTAATAAAACCCAAAGGAACTCCTGAACTGGGACTTCTTTCAAATCTTCCCCTTCTCTCCAGCTTTCCTCTCTAGATTTTCATTCATGCCTCTTCTAGAGCTCTTAGCAGCCTGCCTGCGGGGCCCTACACTCCCAAGCACAAGGGATGCCCCTGACGATGAACTCAGCTGAAAAGGGAAGATCCACACACATAATGCATTAGAATAAACAGCTGGGATTCATTTACTCAAAAACATCTTGACAATTAACAGAGTACGAGGTCCCAAGTGTTCTCTGCCTCACAGAAGGTTGCCCCACCACACCAGGTTAACTGAGCCTTAAGTTTCCAAGGTTGACTGAGGCCAGCAACAAGACTCTGTGTCATCTGGGCTGGATTTCCTAGAAAACCTGCTGAGCTAAAACCAGGTCAGTGCAGATGCACTTCCTTTGTTTCCTCCAGGCTGCTGCGATAGGACTCCCCAGCGTGGCAGCTGACCCCCCAGAGCCTGTCTGCCCTGCTTCTAATAAAGCATCTGCTTACCCTCCACACACGGAGATAGTCACCACTTGTTGCCAGAAGGTCTGGATAGACGCCTTTTGTGTCAGGAATCCACATGAGCTTTGTGGTGGGGTATGGGTGGTCAAAGGTGTTCCGGCAAATAAACTCTGAACTCTCCTCATCTAAACCAACAAGCTGAACCTGCAGCATGCCAAAATTGAACCACGTGAGAATGTTTTTCTTGAGCAGCATCAAATACATCAGATTCCGGGTCAGTCTTAACACAGAAATACACAGTCAAGTGATTATTATAGTGAGGGACCCCTAGACTGACCATGCCAGCACTAGATGAAAACTCAAGAATCACAGGGTTCAGTACAGTCAACACTACAAAGCTAGAAAAAGACAGAATACAGGTCTTCTGACTCTAAGTCCTGAATAAACCTTCTTCATCCTCTCCGAGACAAGCTGATCGTCCTGTCTCTCCTCCCAAGTACTGGGATCCCAGGAATGTATGGACAAAGCATATTTAATCAGGTGCTAGGAATTGATCAGGGCTTCATGTATGCTAGGCTAGTAATCTACCAACTGAGCTACATTCCCAGCCCTCATTTTGGTTTCTTGAACCAGGCTGGCCTTGAACTCACAGAGATTCTCCTACCTCTGCAATTGGATTAAAGGCATGTGCCACCATGCCCAGTTCCATTCTATGGGTTTTAACAAATTCATGACATATATTTTTGGCATTGTAGGGGAGAGTACTTTCACTCATCTTAACAAGCTCTTTTGAGACAGGGCTTTATGTAGTCCATTACCCTCAGGCTCACTGTGCAGGAGAGTTCTCTACCTTCCAAGGGTTTGCTTTGCTTTCTATTTGGCTCAGTGTTTTCCTATTGCGTTTCTCTGTAAACTTTTGCTCTTCTACACTATTGTCTTTCTGTGTGAATTTTAAGAGCAGCTTTTTAAAATGTACAAAAAGCTGTTGAGGTTCTGACTCCCACTGTCCTGAATCTATGGGTCATTTCGGGAAGACCTGGTAACTTAATATTGAATTTAGTTATTTAGGTCACCTTTAGCTTTTTTCAGCAATGCTTTAAAATTTTGCATGTACAGATATTCAACCCTTTCATTGACTTTATTTCTATGTAATTGTATACTACTACAAATATATTTTTAGGGTTTTAGTTGTATTTTTCCCTATGCTACCTAGCATGATTTTTTAATTCATTTTCAATTATTTATTGCTATTACAAAAAATAGTTTATTTTGTGTATTTATCTTAGATCTTTGGTACATATTTGTAAAGATTTTTCTATGTGTATCTATACACTTAGTCATCAACAGATTTTTCTAGAGGTTAGACATAGATATTCAGGGAGATAACGTGAACGTGAAATAGGAAAACAAGGAGGTCTGCACTCAAGTTAGTTGCCTGTCATTATAAGATATTTTCCCCAAACCAAATATCAGATTCTGTGAACACTTTCTACCTAAGGTCCTCTAGACCCAACATTCAAGGCCTTCTGTCACCCAGTGCTAACTAACTTACCTTATCTTCTATTTTCATCGTTTAATTATCATTTTCTACCTTCTCTATCCTTACACATCTTTCCAAATTTGTAAATTATGCTGACACACTTTCCATCAACTCCAATCCATCAGCAGCCTCAGGCTCCCAGCATTCTTTTCTTTCGCTGCAGGCCCTTAGCCTAGAGTGCACAGACACAAGTATGCACATACAGTTTCTTTAAAAAACCTGTTTTTAAAGCACCTTGGAGTTTAAGAGAACTGATAATCAAACCACAGTAAGAACTTCTAGTACTGTGCTTTACAGGAAACACAAAGCTTTTCTGGTGCTTCTTAAGGTGCTCAATCCTACCCTTATGGTCCGTCTATATCCCCAGTCATCATCAAGGATGAGGAGGGGATGTTCCTGAGCAAACGCTGCACCAGCGAGAATGCCACACTAACCAACTTTCCAGCAAGAGTATCTGTGAGTACCTCTCCAACAGGCTGTCTCTTCAACATTTCAAGATTCCTTACTCAGGTGATGATTACTGCAAGAAACTATTTTCACTTTCCAAAGGGTATCTTCGTAGTAACTTGTGTTTAGCCCTTGGCCAACTGACTCTAACTTGCTCAAAGCTTTCACTGAACAATCAGACATTTACATTTTATGATAAAAAGAGAACATTAAGTGCTCTGTGAATGTCCACAGAACAGAATAAGATGGCAGCGCTCACATTAATGCCATTTCTTGCTGTACTTACTAATCCTCGCAAATTCTTACTAATGTCTACAGTGACTGGTTGATTGGTACCTTTCCAAATTATTTTTCCATGTATTTAATGTGTGTATAGGTGTGTGTGTGTGTGTGTGTGTGTGTGTACTGGAGGTATGCATGGTGGGTTTTTTTTAACAAAAAAAAACAAACAAAAAATCCAAAACAGACTTGTTTCATACAATTTATTCCACAATTTGCTTTGAATAAAAATGTCTTCAAGTCAATATAAATGGTTCCACCTCATTCTTCCACAGCAGACTGTGGTAAGCACACCTCAATACATTTAACTGTTCATTTATTTTGGTTATATAGTCTGTTGTTTTACTGCTATAAACAGCACTACAATGAATATTCTTAATTATCTTTGTATTTATATGTAAATGCCTTTATTGACTAGATACCTAAAAGTGTAATTGCTCTAACACATTTTAAATTATTTTTTGTGTATGTGTGTTTATGTTCATATGTGTGCATGCATGTAGAAGCCACATGTCAACATCAAGTGCCTTCCTCAATTGTTCTTTTTTTAAAGTTTTTTTTTGTTTGTTTGTTTTGTTTTGTTTTGGAGACAGGGTTTCTCTGTGTAGCCCTGGCTGTCCTGGACTTGCTTTGTAAACCAGGCTGGCCTCAAACTCACAGATCAGCCTGCTTCTGCCTCCTTGAGTGCTGGGATTACAGGCGTGCACCACTGTCGCGACCGGCCTTTGCCGATAAGGACGATGCAACAACCGAGGATTTCTTCAGCGGCAAGTTTATTGTTACAGCTCTTTTAGCAGATGGTGAAGGACCCAAACCCCGGGTTGTGCTCTGCTTAAATAGCCAGCAGAGAGGCGTGTTCATCTGTAATTGGTGCTCTGCTCAAGTCTTCATAATCATATGGCTGGCAATTGGAGTGCAGCCTGAACCCTCATTAGCATAAACCTGCGCATGCGTAAACTGCAGGGCGGCGCAGGCAAGAAGCGCGAAAATGCTGGCAAGAAGAACCAGGAAGCAGGAAGCCAGCGCCATCTTGTAATGGCGGGAGCGGCTCCCGACACACCACCATGCCCAGCTCTCCATCTTAATTTCTAAGACAGGGTCTGTCACTAAATTCAGAGCTCACCAGTTTGGCTCATCTGTCTGGCCAGCAAATCCCAAGGATCCTCCTGTTTCTGCTAGGCTTTGGGGCTTTGAACTCAAGTCTTCTTGTTGGTGCAGCAAGCACCTTACCAGCTGAGCTCTCTCCCCAGCCTCACCTCTCAATCCTACCATCTTCAAAAATGTTGCTTCTGGCTGGTGGAGCAGGGCATGCCTATAAGCCAGCACTGGGGACAGGGCTGAGGGTGTGGCTAAGGCAGGAGGAGGAAGAGTTTAAGGCAAGCCTAGACTACAGCTAAGACCCTGCCAAGAAAAGAGGATGCTGGGAATGGTGGTGACCCCAGTTTTGGAGGTAGAGGCAGGAGGCAGGAGAATCAGAAATTCAAGGCCAGCCTAAGCTTCATGAAACCTTGCACATAAAAGTAAAAATTTAATGAATATTAAGAAAAAATAGGCAAAATACTTTAAGATATAGGCATAAATAAATAAGAACTGTCTGAAAAGGACCCCAATAGTGTAGAAAATATTCCTAAGAATTGAGAAATGAGATTGTATGAAATTCCACAGCTTCTGCACAGCAAAGGAAACCATGACCAGCATGAAAAGGCAGCCTACAGGACAGGTGAGACATCTGCCAACAAACTATATGGACAGGGAAGTCATATCTACACCTTATAAAGAACTGTGAAAGTTAAAAATCAAAACTCCTAAATCAGTGCTCGCTTTGGCAGGAGGAACAAAAACCCCTAAATCCTATCAACAAATGGGAAAATTAACTCAAGTGGCAGTTTAAGAGAAAAAAAATAACAAAAGGACTATAAATACTTGAATATTCAGATGAAAACTGTTTACAGAGTCCATCTCACCCCAGTTAGAAGAAAACAAATGCCAACAACTACTGGCCAGGGTGTGGGGAAGGAGGAACCATTACACACGCTGCAGGGAATGTAAACTGGTACAGCCACCATGAAAGACAGTATGGAGGCTCTTCAGAAAGCTGAAAAACAGACTGGGCATGGAGGCTCATACCCGCAATTCTAGCACTGAACAGCGAGAACCAGAGGAAGACTCGAGCCCCCAAACACAGTTACATATATGACCCAGTTGGCCTCTCAGTCAGCTCACCACGGAGACACTGGTGCATCCATGACTACGGCTGCAGTGCTCACAACAGCAGAGACGGGCATGCAGCCCAGAGCTCCATCAACAGGTGAGTGGGTAAAGAAAAGGAAGGGCAAACACAATGCCATTTTATTCGCTGTAAGAAAAAACAAAATCTGCAGAAAAAAAAGAGTAGAACTTGGAATCATCCTGTTGTCAGGAGAAACACACCAGACTCAGAAAGACAAGTGTTTTCTCTCATGTGTGGTACCTACACTGAAACTTATATAATGTACATATATACACACATCTGTGTGTGTGTGTGTGTGTGTGTGTATGTGTGTGTGTGTGTGTGATACAAACATAGAAAGGGACTATGAGACCAAAGGAAGAGGTCTAAAGAGATGAAGGTGGGGGACAAGAGATGGAAATGGAATATTTGTGATATGAAAACAAAAGTGGAAGGATTGGAGAAGAGGGGACCAGAAAAAAAATGGGGGGTCAGGAAAGGGAAGTAGGAGAAACAAAATACAATGATATGCATGAAAATGTCACAAGACCCTCTTCTTTATAATAACAAAAAATTAAGAGAATTTACAAGTTGCTTCCATTTATACTTTTATTAGCAGCAACTAAGTGCCAATCCCCCCCCCCCCCCCCACATCTCTGAAAACACTAAAAACAAACAGAACTTTTTGCTAACCTGACAGGAAAAAAATTGGCACTTTTTATACCATTTTATTACTGTGGTAGAACATACGAACTCACCATGTCAACTTTTTAATTCTTAATTTAACTCAATTCTTTAAATACATTATCTGAATTTTTATTGTTGTTGTTTTGTCTCACTTCTTTGGTGGGAGCTCTTCTCCAACAATGCTTACAGTTAGGCCTCCTTTTCCACTTCTAGGCTATTCTCTTTCAATGTAATTTCTTTTTCCTCCCTTCCCAACACAGGGGATTGAATTCAGGGAATCACATATACTCAGCTATATCCTCAGGTTCGTTTTAAGAGAAGAGTTTTGTTAAGTTGACCAGGCTAGCCTTAACTTCACTCTGTAGCCCAGGCTAGCTTTGACCTCATTCATGCTCCCCTTTGCTGGGCTCCCAAATAGTTGTCAACCTGTGCTGCTTCTTGGTCCCAAAAGACCATTTTTTTTTCCCCTTTGTCCAACAGACTACCATTTTGCAGAACTGCAGCTCTTCCAAGTCTGGCATCTGTAGCCATGGATACTTTCCTTATCCTCTTCCTAGATCCAGTGTCCTACCGCCCTTCCTTACATACTGTGGGAGTGCTGGGAACATGAGTTCTGACAACTGCCATCATGGCGACAGCCAGTCTTTTCTCCAGTCTCCTGCTATGCCTCTTCCCTCTCCTACCTTCAATGCCTTCTGCAGTCACTTTCCACTTCACATCACTTCCTCCAACATGTGAAACAAAGCCCTAGAGAGGAAAGCTAGGAAGCACAATCATTTTTCTTCACTGACAAAAAATATGTTGGCACTTGAAAAAAAAAAATTATAGTCTTGCTGTGTATCCCAGGCTAGCCTTTAGGTTGGGAACCTACTGGGACTGCAGGCACATATCACCACTCTCCATCTATTTTTTTTTTCATTTTTATTTTTTTTAAAGGTTGATTTTTAAATTTGTGTTTATATATAGGCAGGTGTGCATCTGCCACGTGGTAATCTTTTATATTGTTATTATATTTATTGCTTTATGTGTATGAATGTTTGGCCTGCCTGTGTGCATGTGTACTTCATACATGCCTGTTGGTTCCCCTGGAACTGAGCTATGAGCCGCCCTGTGGTTGCTGGCAATTACCTCAGGTTCTCTGTAAGAGCAGCAAGGGCTCTAATCCACTGAGCCATCTCTCCAGCCCACATGTGACAGTCTTAACCCTGCCTTTTCTCAGTGTGTGGCTTTGGGTGAGTTGTCTTCTGTACCTCAGTATCTTTCTGTGTTAAATGACATAAGGTGTTTAGGTCATTTAGTTAGGAAACTTCTGTCCTTGTGCACGGCTGACTCTGGTTATATCAGCTGTTAAGGGAAAGTGATTAAGAACTCCAAGTGTTAGTTGATTTGAATAACATGGATGTTTATCCCACATTTACACTGTCAACTGTTTGTTCCACATGAGCACTTTGCATCCTGGAATGGGATAAATTTTCTTTCTTCAAGGAGCTTGTGGTAACAAACAAGGAAGGAGATATGACACTTTTCTTTTAGAAAATCCACAAGGCAGCAGGACATAGTAACGTATCAGTAATCCCTGCACTTGGGAGGTCAAGGCAGGTGGATAAGGAGTTCAAAGCCTGCCTGGGCTACAAGAGGCTATGTCTCAACACACAATAGCCTCATTAGATACGAATAATATATAATGTGCATTATTCACGGCAATGACGGAAGTAAAGACGCATGGCTCTGAGGAGTATTTGATTTTTCCGTTTGAGACAAGGTCTTAACTTTGTAACTCAGATTGATTGGGAGCTCACTATGTAGCCCAGGCTAGCCTTAAACATAAAATAATCTTCCTCCCTCAACCCTCCAAGTGCTGGAATTACAGGCGAGAGCCACCAGGTCCAGCTTGGGGGTTATTTTATATTATATATTTGCTCCTTAGCAGGCACATGTTCACTGTTTTAAAATGAGATGCTGGAGAAACGGCTCAGCAGACAAGTGCATTCCCTGCCCTTGCAGAGGACCTGAGTTTGGTTCCCAGCACTCAAACTGGGTGGCTTACAACAGCCTGTAACTCCAGCTGGGGGGAGAGGAACTGTGACAACCCTCTTCTTGCCTCTTAGATAAAAGACCCTGGAAAAACTTAGAAGGCAAAAAAATTAATATGTGTGGAGAAAAAACTACAGTAATTTTATAGGCATATTTTACTTTTATTTCTTACATAAATCTTTAAATATTTCTAGGGATCTTAGCCTTACTAACAGTACCCACACCAGGACCCTGAAACTCAGCCTCAGTTTTACTGCCACTGAGGGAGCAAGAGCCATTACAGAAAAGAAATAAGGCCCTTGTTTAGGAAAGGACATTTCAGTACACATTCCCTGGGATTGTAAAGTGTTGGTGTATATGGGATGTCCATCCTTTTCACCCACTTCTCAAAGAGGACAATAAAGAAATGGAAACACACATGCTTCTGAAATATTATAAAACAAACTTAAAATGTTCAAATGTTTTCACCTGAACCTTCACATGCATGTCAGAAGCCCTTTCCTGTATCTCCGTGGGTCAGAAAGAATAACATTTGCTAGTCTAGGCAATGCCTAACAGCCAATGCCTACACCACCTACTTGTCTCCGGCCTGGTGAGTAAACTTTAAACACCACTGACCAAAGCTTTCAGTAGCTCTGAAGACTGTCATTCATATTTTTTTTTTCCCCTCAGATTGCAGCAAAAGAATGAAGTTCAGAGATTAGGGAAATAGAATTCTTCTTAACACTTTCAAAACTACATCTTGCAGTAGCAGCTTACAAGCTCTCTCCTTCTACCAGCGTTTTGATGAAGTGATGGGTGTTCGGCACTGCTGCAAGTCAACGTGTAAGGAACCACGAAAAGAACAGGTCAAACGTCATCTCTCTCTATTCAGAAATAATGGCGGGATAATGCCACAGACCAAGGTTTCCAAGGTTGGGCTGTTCGGGGGAGGGTGAACATCGGGAAGGAAAAACCGATGGCCAATGACAACCTAGCATTTGGGCTCTGTCTCTATGAGAAACACCTGAGATGGGGAAGATCATGCAATAAATAGCCCTAACAGAAATCTCGCGTGGCCAGGAATGCACGACCACCAATCCAAGCGCCCGCACCTTCCTCCACTGCCTCTCTCCCGCCCCCCACCTAGCAACAGAAGCACTGCGGCAGAAGCGGGGGAAAATGAGTGGGACAGAGGACGCGGCTTTAGGGATGTAAACTCCAGTCTGAAACCCGCTATCGCCACCAAAAACCTCATCTGCCTCAGGCACGTCGCAACGCTGTGCCTCAGTTTCCCCCGGCTGTCAAGATGAAAGAAGGCAACGAGCGCTTACCCCCTCGACAACGGGGCTGCAGAGGAGCGAACCACCTCCTTGCTACAAAGGCAAGTTCGCAGCAGAGTTGTGGGACCTGGGGCCGCCGCCCACCTCCAGCGTCCCCCGCCAGCTAGAAGCCGAGGCCCCTGCATGACCCACCTTGTTGTTGTACTCCTCCACGAAGCTGCCCAGCGCCAGGCGAAAGCGCTTGTCCGGCCGTACGCTCCAGTTCATGGCGTACACAGTCCAGGGCGCTTCATATTTGTAGATCTCCTTTCGTTTGCCGTGCAGGGACATGGTGGCGGCTGGGCCGCAGAGCCGGCCGGAGAGGCGGCGGGCTGGGGCACGAGAAGGGCGGGGAGCCGGGCTTGGGTCCGCGGATCCGAGGGGAGGCGGGGCCGGGGCGGGCAGGAACGGCCTAGCCCTCCGGCGGGTCGTCGGCTACACGCACAGACACACTCGGCCGGCCCGACCACCAGTTTCAAACCAGCTCGGGCAGCAACTACCACCTTCCGTTTGGGATGCCGGCCCGCCCTCTCGGAACGGAAGCCACGAGACCCCGCAGCGGCGACGAGCGTTGGCTGCCGGGTACGTCCTTTCCAAACTGTTCCTCCTCCTCATTGGTCAGCACAGCCGCAGCGCCCGCGCCCTCCTCACTATTGGCGAAGATGTTTGTCATTTTGCTTGTTCGCCACGCCCAGCTCCTGGAGGCGGGCTCTTTTGAAGCCCCGAAGATCATTGGCTGGGCGAGGTGTCAGTCAGACGGATAACGGCGCAGTGCGGGTGAATGGGGGCGTGGGTGGCCTGGGGGCAAGTGTGGCCTTCTGCGGGCCTCCAAGTTCTAGGCCAAGGGTCTGAAGAGTGAAGCCTGCGACTTCTTCGCTGCCGCCGCTGCTGTTCTGATCGCCTCTCTCCGCTAACGTGGCAAATCTACCTTCATGGAGGACCTCCTGCGTTTATTTCATCGCCCTGAGCCTGCCGGTCTCGCAGCCTTTGCTAAATGGGAACCCTCTCCAGCTCCAATGCCCCTTTTTAACTGTTCTCCTTCGGGCCTGGCTAACTTGATTCAGGCTTTCTTGCGCTGTCCTATAGACACTAGCAAGAATCCCGAATTCTAGGATTAATTTTCAATGGGCCTGGCTATTAGTCACTTACCTTCCTTGCCCCCGGGGGGGTATTTAGAAGCCAAATGCTAATACAACCTTAAAAGTCGACCGTGCCATGTTTGAAAGGCAGAAAAGCCTGACTTAGGTACATCATTGTAAGGCCTTATTGAATCGTTAGGCAATATTATAAAACCCAATTTAAGAATACATTATTTAGTTTTATGTGTATTTGTATGTACCCGAGTAAGTGTACCAGGTGTACAAGTGCCCACAGAAGTCAAGAAGAGGCATCGGAAGGTGGGATGGAAGGGTAGGAGGGAGGGAGCTACAAAGTGAATAAACTGTGATTAATAAAAACAAAAAAAAAAAAAACACACACACACACACAAAAAAAAACCCCAGAGGCATTGGATCGCCTGCAACCAGAGTTACAGATGGTTGTGAGACATTACGTGAGTGCCAGGGATCCAACCCAGGTCCGCTGCCAGGGCAGCTAGTGCTCTTAAGGGCTGTACCGTCTCTCCAGCCCATAAAAATACACCTTTTAATGAATGTGATGTTTTTAACAGAAACAAACACTGGAAGCCTTGAGGGACAATGGTGTACATTTATCAAGCATCTTTCAGTCATGTCCGCCTGTGTGAACAAGCCTACTGTGCACTTCGTTTTTTATTTTTTAAGTTTGATTTGTCTGTATATAATTGAAATTTTTATGTAACTTATTTTTCTATTATTTACATTATATTTTATATAATTTACATGGGAGTGCACATGCTCTTCTAACCTGAGCACATCCATGTACCCATTGCCAGGGCAGAAAGCAGAACATGACATGCCCAGAAGAGCCACTCAGACTCTGGTAAGTGCGATAGTCTCACAGGCCGAATCTGTTTTCCTTCATCTGGACATGGCCTCGGGCTGTGGAGCTCCAGGGCTCAGCTGAGACACCTTCAGGTGTCCCACTGATGTGAGAAGGACTCGGAGAAGCATAGGCGTAGGCTCGGACCTGAAGATGCTCAGAAAAGTTACAGAGCTAGCCCAACACGAAACGTTCAAGACTTTATTAGCTGTGTGACACTGCATGCCCCCAAGGGACCCAGATATTGTCCTGGAATTCTTGGGGCTAGAGGGGCTGGGAGGCTGGAGCTGTCTTTTATGTCCACCACAGAGGGCACTCTTAAGTCCAACCATATTAGAGGCTTTTGGCAAAGGTCTGGTCAACCCTGGCCTTGGGTCTGGGCTTTTGAAGGAAAAGGTGGTACTGAGCTGGGAGGTGACCATGTGCAGCCCCCGGCAAGACTCTCCCGAAGATCAGAAGCGTCTCCCTTCCGCACTGACCCTCGCATGCTGTAAGCTACCTCCAAGCAACCCTCTGCCTGGCTTGCCGATTACACGGACCTCCAAGGAGGCTGAGCCAAGACGTGAACCCCTTCCCTCAGGCCATTTGGTCACCTGGCTCAGCAGTCTGTAGTTTCTCTGAGAGAATAGTTTTCAGAGCTTTATTGGGAGGGCTGTCTTGGACCCCTCCCCTCGGGGGGCTTAACTCTCACCTCCCTGTATTTAAATTCCCTTGTGGTGGCTTTTATCTTGGGGTCCAACGGCCCTAACTCCTCGTGAATCCAGGATCTGAACCATGTCTCTGGAACTCCAGCTGCCTCGGAACAGAACCAAGGTGTTCAGGGAGGGAGGGAAAGCGGGGACCACTGAGCCCCTGTACTCCCAGGGGACACAGAGGTGAGGCTAGAGTTGACGGGAGCCCCTCCGGCTGTTCCTGTTCTGAGGATGGCACCAGAGTTTTGTCCATTGCCACAGCCAAGTGAGGCATCCTGGGGGAGAAATTCCTGGGCTTCCGAAGATATTTGTCCAAGTCACCATAGTTTAGGGTCTGGGAGAGAGGCAAAAGAGAAGGAGGTAGACTGTATGGAGCCACACCCCTACCTTCAGGTCAGGCTGGATTTTTCTTCATCCTGTGCATGAATGTGTGTATGGGTGTATATAGAAGAGTGTTATATATGTATGAATGTGTGTGAATATTTTTGTGTGTGCCAGTGCATGTTACATAAGTGCATGTACATGTGGAAGCCAGAGGTCAGTCTCAGTCGTTGTTTGTCAGGAGATGTCTGCTTTGCTTTTTGTGACAGGCTCTCACGTGGACCTAGAGCTTATTATGCTAGACTGGCTGGTCAGGAAACCCTACGGATCCACTTGTCTTTCCTTCCCCAGCCTTGGAATTACAAGTGTACACTACCACACCCAGCTTTTAACATGAGTGTTGGGGATCGAACTCAGGTCCTCGCCCTTGCATGGCAAGCATTTTCCTAACTGAGCCATCTCCCCCAGCCCCTAAGCTGGATATTGATCCACTTTGAACTCTGGGATGGGAACCAGGGGAGAGGTCTACCGGCTCCTCCTCAGGGAGCTGGGGATCCTGTTTTATCCACCCAAGTTGGGGGGGGGGGAATCATTCAGCTGCCTTCAGGGAAACCCTGGGGAGCCCCTCCCCTCTCACCTGTGCAGAGGGCATATGTCTCGCCAGAAGCGTGGGCTCTGAACTCTGAGTCACTGAAGTTTCAGGAAACAAGGCCAGGTCACTGGAGGCAGGGGCTCCCAGGATGTAGCTGGCATGGTCCTGTGGATGCTGAAGTAGCTGTAGGATGCGGCTGAGGTCTGACGACATGCGGGACTCCAGTCTGCCCGACAGAGCACCAAGGTAAAAGTCAGGGTTCCGAGAGCAGCTCAGATCCCGATGTCATCTCTCACTAGTGTGACCCAACCTCTTCCGGCTGAGTGGAATGACAGCCTGGGGCCTACCTGAAGTGATATCTCCACTAGGATCCATCCACAACATTTGCCCACATTCCCCTTAGCACATCCTGTGTTTTGTGACACTAGGGACTAGTCATGGGGCACACCACATTCAGTCCTAATGATGCTTTGATGTGGGTATTTTCTGACTGTACCCATTTTATGATGTGGCAAACTGAGGCACCAAGCTGTTAAACTCAGAGCTTGCCCACACTCTAAAACTTGTAAGTTACACAGCCATGATTTGATCCTGGAACTGCCCTCCTTGCCTTCAAGCCTTCTCTTTGCCACCCACAGGCAACACCCACTTTCCAAGGACCTCTGGAATTTGTTCCTGCACAGGGATGTATCACTTCCCCTCAAGACGTTTCCTTGTTTTGTTCTGGGGTTTTCTGGAGGAAGCCATGCAAGGAATTATGCTCAGTGATAGAGAATTAGAAACCTATGCTAAATGGATCTGCCATTCTAGAACCCAATCAGGCACCCAGTGATGCCCCTAAGCTCCCAGGAGGCGGCAGCACCTACATCCAGCCAGCTCCTTTGCAACTGCCCCAACCTTGCCAGAGAGGTTCTCACCTGTTCATCTGGTCCTGGAGCTGCTCTAATTTAGAGCCTAGCTCCCGAGGCCAGCAATCCAGGTCCTGCTGTGGGTTTGAGGGACTTGGGGGCATTTGGTGTAGCAATTCAGGCCAAAGTGCAGATGCGTCTGAGATGCTCAGGGAAGGGGCAGCACCTTCAGGAGGGAAGGGGACAGCTTTTGCTAAGGCTGACACCACAGGCCTGTCCCTTTTTACCAGGGCCCATGTGCTCCCCCTACTTGTCATGGGAATACAATAAGAGGAATGGTTCTCCTTACCTGGGTGCCCTGAGGACAAGGTCCTGTTCTTATGCAGGTCTGGCTTCCAGGGCCCAACTGGATATATCCATGGGAGGGGAGGTGGGGCCCTCAGCTTAAATGGAGTGGTCAGGGTGGGGATTTCTAGCCCTGGTCTCATAGACCTGAAGCCCGGGGAGGGGTGAGGAATCTCCTGGTACCTTCATACAGAACCTCAGGCACTTGGCTACCAGTGAGCTCTCCCTCTCTGACTCAGGCCAGCAGGGCTGGGAAGAGAGAGGAAGGCTTCTATTCCTCTGCCCAAGGAAGAACCTTTCCCTATCACCGAGTGGCTGAGACAATCCCTCTTTCAACAAGAGACAAAATACAGGGGATACTAGAAGGGGCCAAAGGCTGGGCAAGGGCCTGGCTACGGGGCTGGCTGGACTCACCTGACTGGCTGTCATTGAGGAAGAAGCCTTGGGGATCTTGGTTGCCTGGAGCCTGTCGGGGTGATGACTGGAGACCCCCATCTGCCTTGTAGGGAGCAAACGTAACAAGTAACAGGGAGCAAAGCTGGGACAGGGTCTCTCTCTTTGTTCCTCCCTGTTCCCAGCTCCCCTCTGTGGCCCTTGTAACAGCTGGGTGAAAAATTGAGACGGGCATCTGGGCACACCAGGGCACTCTAGACAGCCTCCAGCAGGCTCTCACCTGAGAGCCTCTCGGGCAGGTAAACAGGCTTAGAGACAGGTGACCAAGTAGAGACCCCCCAGAAAAGTCTTTGGAGACTGTTTTGTGAACAGTGAGACCTGAGGGTGCATGGCAGAAAGGCTCCTCCCCAACTGCCTTTTCTCCCGTCTCCTAAAGGCCCATGCCTCCCAGTGAGTGAGTAGCGTCTTTTGGTGAAGACTGTGTCTAGAACCCCCAGTCCACTCTAGGTGGGATCCATGGCAGCATTCTTGGATACAACCTTTCTGGCACCATGGGAGTTGAGGGGACCTTGGTGTTACAGTCAACTCAGGCCAATGAAGACCCCGACAGGCAATCCTCCTCATCTTTCTTACTAGGATGAGTTCAGACTCCTCCTCCAGGAAGGACCCTTGGAACTTTCACTGAGGCTGTAGTGCCCACCCTCCTTGGCAAACTGGATATGATGGCTAGTTTCATGTCAACTTGACACAAGCTAACGTCATCTGGGAGGAGGGAACTGAAACTGAGGAAATGACCCCCACAAGACTGGCCTGAGGGCAAGTCTATGGTGTGATTTCCTGATTGGCATGGGAGGACCCAGATCTCGGTAGGTGGTGCCATCCCTGGGCTGGTGGTCCTGGGTGCTATAGGAAAGCAAGCTGAGTAAGTCGTGTGGGCAAGCCAACAAGCAGAGTTTCCCACCCCATGGCCTCTGCATCAGTTCCTGATTCTAGGTTCCTGCCCTGACTTTTTTGGATGATGGGCTACAAGCTGTAAGATGAAATAAACCCTTTCCTCTCCAACTTGTTTTTGGTCATGGGGTTTTATCACAGGAATAGCAACCCTGAGACACTGGAACACCCCAGAAATTGGCTGTGTCTTGCATACCCTTGAGGTTTCTTTGTGTCTTTAAATGAATGACACTTTATTCCTCTTGGATTGCTATGAGGTAAGCTTAAGAGACAGCTGTAT